ATGCTACTCTCAACATACAGCCCCAAATGCATGTTCTGCTGGCATCATGGCCAGTATTCCAGCAGGCCTTTTCACAGACATACAGTGGGGGCAGCATGTTTTTTAAGGGGGTGCCTGGCACTGAAAATGTGCAGGCCGCCTAAAGGGTAATCTAAAGGCCTCAGTGTGCCCCATGTATTTAAGATACATGATATTGATCGTTTTCCTCCCTTACAAAAAAGAAAAAAAAAAAACCTACTTGGAAAACTTAAAATGAATTCTTTTTAGGGATGAATTCTACTGATGAAGGTTTAATTTCCCTCACTAATCTTGACATGTGTTAACTTAGACCTCTGCCCATCCACATACACGCAACTCTAATTATCAAAGAGCCAGTGAGTCTCTTGACACGAGTAGACAGTTGCTATATGGCATACACAGCTCCTATAACGGCAACGCAGGAATCAGGTAAGGAAGAACTGGGTTGAGGAGAGAAGCAGATGGTTTCTGGTTTTGATAGAGATGGACAATGCTGAAGTGGAGGGGCAGGGGTATGTGAGATGGACATGGCCTTCCACAATCTCTCTGGCTACTGCTCCAATCCATCCATCCAGGAAAGTGGGTTACCTTGTAGTGTTCTTCATCTTCTATCAAATAAATTCCACAAGTCTCCAAAGAGGTCTTAACAGTGAGCAAGAAGGCAAAGTTGTATGTCACCTGGTCACTGGCTGGGCATGACACGAAGTTCTTTTGTTTGCTGGGAAGCTGGTTCTCAAATTAAGGACAGGTTAGCATCACCACTTAGCTTTTAACTCAGAACCAAATGTGTATCCTTCACTTTGCTAAAACAGGAGTCTTGACTTAGGCAAAATGTGGATTAAACTACAAGTTAGTTTCTGGAAAGAATACACCTATGGCTGAACTGATGTAATCCTTAAAGGAGGAGAGCATCCTGGAGGTGGAATGGACTTGGACCCAGCATGACCCCAACTCTACTCCTTTATATGAGAGGAAGAGAAATGCCACAACTTGGCTGAACAATGTACAGCATTTAGGGAGTTTGAGGCCAATCACAAATGCTGCCAAACTGCTCAGTGTCACTATGGTGGGAGTGGCTGCACTGCAGGCTGGGTGAAGAGTTGGGTGGCACCTGGCAATGGCGAGTTAATGCCAATAGACTAGATTTGTATGTATGTATTTCAGCCAGATCTCCCTATGTCGCCCAAGGTGGTCTCAAATTCTTGGGCTCAAGTAATCCTCTTGCCTCAGTCTCCCAAGTACAGACTACAGGCACATGCCACCAGGCTGGCTAGATTTTTTAATGTAGACTGTAATTCTGGTTCTATATTTGACTAAATCTGTGACTGTACAAGTCTCTTATCCTCTCTGAGCTTTATATCTTCCATATCTAAACAAGTAATATGGGCATGGGGGGAATGGCACACTGGTAAGAGTATGTACCTAGCATGTGAGAGGCCCGGAGTCCAAACCACAGGATGACAAAAAAAAAAAAAAATCTTAAAAACTCTGGCTCGAGCTGAGACAACATATGTGGAACATACTCGGTAGATTCCAAAGTGCTCTTAAAATGCTAATTATTATTAAGCGTAATTTCATTACAACAGGAACTAAATGCTTTCTAGAATCCATTTGTAATTGTTTACAAAGCGGCCAAGAGGGAATTCCCTTAATAAGAAAGTGTATCAGAACAAGCAGCCTGCCACCACAGGGCAGGTGCTTGTGTCATTGAATGGGTGGTGGGGGTACCTGCTGGGAACCAGGCCCTTCTTCCTGCTCTGGTCCACAGAGCACACCCTCCACGAGCAAGCTGCTCACCTCCCAGTGGCACTGGAGAAGGCAGTCAGGGGAGGCCAGATGAGCCAAGACTCTGGAATCAGACAACCCAGGGTTTCAAGTCTGGTATTACGTGACCACTTCTTGTACAGACTGGCCATGCTCTTCAGACTCTTGGAGCCTCTCTTCATTTCCAAATAATAACAGCTATTACTCTTTTTTTTTTTTGGTCCCAGGGATCGAACTTGGGTCCTTGCGGTTGTGCAGCAGGCGGTGAGACCACTGAGTTAAATCCCCGGCCAATCAGCTATTACTTTTAATGACATTCTTTTATTTTTTATTTTTTCCAGTACTGGGGATTGAACTCAGGACCTTGTGCTTGCAAGGCAGGCACAGAGCCACTGAGCTACATCCCCGGCCTCTTTAATGGCATTCTTATCATGTGCCAGGCATTGTATTAAGTATTGATTTCATATACCCCTTACACATCAACCCACGAGATACCTAATGCACAGATGGGGAAGCAGGGTCACAGAGGTTAAGGGATTGAAGTCAGGATTTAAGGCCTGTCTGGTTTGATGCAGCTAGGCAGCCTCTAGATCTCTGCTAGCTCTGATGTTTTACTGCTACTCTGATATAATGATCCTAACAGGCTAAACAGTACCTCCTCGTTTCTAAAAGCTACCTGGTAGTTAAGAGAATACACTCGAGTTAGCTGTCTCCCTTTTACTGTGAGGCCTTGGGGAAATCACTTCATCTTTCGAGACTCTTACTTCTTCCTCTCTACAGGGGCGACAATGACAGCAGATACATACGGCTGTGGTGAGGATAGTGTAAGCTGATGACCTTCATAGCACATAGTGACTGTTCACTAAAGGTCCTTTCCTATAGGTGTCCCATCTGACCTTCTCTTCTTAGTGTTCCTCTGCTCTAGCAGCTGTGGGAGGCCGTCCCCTCTGTGGCAGTGGAGTCCATGTGGTGCTGTGGTCAGCCTTGGCTCCGTGAGGGGCAGAGAGGGATGACTGGAGAGGACTAGGCTCTGGGGATCCCACCAGCCCCATCTTAGAGCATGTCTCCTCTTATCTGCTCAGAATTCTGGAATTCTGCAGAAGATATTACTTAAAAAGAGGAGTTTCCCATTTAATTTCTAGGAAATATATAGACTAAATGAAAAAATGGGTACATACTAAATTTTAACCCTAAAACGTGTACATTTTCCATTTTTTTCTTATGCTTTCATCTGACTATGATCTCCAAAGGTAATACTTTGGATGGGCAGCAGTGGGATAATGCTCCTGGTACAATTTCTTCCCTCTTGTTCTCTGGATCTGCTTGTGTTTCAAATCCTCAGGTGATCTTATTAAAAGTACCAACCAGGGGCTGGGGATTTAGCTCAGTGGTTCCGCCGCCTGCCTGGTAAGCTCAAGGACCTGAGTTTAATCCCCGGTACCAAAAAAAAAAAAGGACCAATCAGGTAGCTGTGGACTGGGCCCCAATTTGACAAGCTCCCAGGAGATTTCCATAGAAGTGGTCAGAGGTAAGCCTTGGAGAAACACTATTACAAACATGGGAGGAATGGTATGTCTCTCTAAAAACCTTTTAAAATTTCAACAAACACTTTTCAAGGAAAGTCTTATGAGGGGACTCCTATGTGTAAAAACATGACAAAGCTGAGCCCTTTGGTGGAGGTGGCTTTGTGGAGCACTACTTAAATCCAAGCTTTGAGTTTTTCCTCAGGGAGAGCCCACAGCGCCTCCCTGTGGAGCTGGATCAACTGGACCGATTCTTGCTGGGTTGAGGGACTTCCCTCTGTGTGAGCTGGCTCCCAGGATTCCTTGCTGTGACAGCCAGACCAGCTAGGTCTTTTTCCTTATGTGAACTGATACCCTATGAGGTCTTCATTCAGGATGTGACCTTTCTAGGAATGAGCCCCTCCACATTTAATTCCACCCATCCTTTCTTATTCCCGTATCTCACCCCAGAGGAGCTCCTGGAACCTCCTCACCTCCAGCTACCATGGGACATATGCTCTATATAATGAAATCATTCCCTAGCTTGGTCTTCAGTTGTTTATGGGATTCAAGACACATACTCCCAAATATACCAAAATTACCATGACGTCCTGCTTTCTACTGTTCAGCACACATTGCTCTAATACATCTTTACATTCTATGCCTTACACTACTGTAAAATAAACCTTTCACTCAAAGCTTTCTGCTTCATGTTCCTTTTTGTTCGGTATTCATTACTCATGGTTTCTTGAATCATTCTGTAGTAACATGTATTTGACAAACGCTCTAGTTTTGCTTCTGCGTTTTTCTCATTTATATTGTTTGCTAATACATGATGTATTGCTGATTGAGGACTATCTCCACTGAAACTCTTATCCTTAATTTATGAACCCCGACCGTGTATTGTTAATCACTTCTAGTTTCTTTTATTGGCCTGTTTTATGCCCCTTTGTGCTCTTTCTTCTACTCTTTTATTGCCTGAACTACTTTGCTTTCTTCTACCTTTAAATACATTGGAAAGATAAATGCATTCTATTTTCATTCAGTTAGTGACCCCTCTGCTCCTTAAAAGCTCTCGGGTGACTTTGTCAACAGTCTCTCAGCTATGTGCGGTCCAGGTCCCTCCTGAGGAAGATGGGATCTGACTTTGGTTCCAGTGGTTCTGGAGAACTTGGGAGGGAAAGATAGGGAAAGATACTGTGCCCTAACGGTGACAGTAACGGCTTCAAAGCCCAGGTCCCTGAGGGGTGGGAGTTGCAAGCTGGCTCCTTCAACATCCCTTGGGTGGGTCTCCCACACCGCCTCTCTACTGTCTTCAACTGGAGTTTTGAGCTTTTGTGTTGGCAGCTGAGTCCCTCCTCCTCAATTTCTGACACGTCTCTCCATGACTACACAGTTACTGGAGTAAGAGGGTACAACAGAGTTCAGCGCTGTGCATGGGTCCTGATACTCTCTGGTTGGGCTCTCTTGGTGCCTTGATACTCTGAGCCTGACATGGGGGCCACCAGCTGGACCCTTGTTATCCTACCAAGAGCACAAGCCATGCCTGGCAGTCCTCACAGCAACTCTGCTGTTTGAGGTTTATGAACCACATGGTCCTCTCGTGGAATAACCAGAGCTCTCTGCTTTGCCCTAAGGGCTCAGCCACAGCAGGGCAGCACACCTGGCAAGCAGCAGTGGCTGGGGCCACAGGAGTCAGCGCTGGGCACCTCTTACCTCAAACTGGATCAGCACTGTCCCACTTTCAAGGCCCTTCTTTAGCAGTTCCATGGATCCCTCCAAAGTGTCCACACCGTCTGGACACATGGGGAAAATGGCCTCTGGGAAAAGCTGGTTCAGTTCATCTTCAGATCTGATCTCAGCAAATGAGTGGACAGCTGGAACGAACAAGACAGAGCACTTGGGTTGCCACTGTGGCTGATCAGTTTCCCTCAAAAACGTTCCCTATGGCACCCGGTGCAGATGGTTTACAATGTCTTATTAAATGATTAGGCACACAGTGATCACTTCAACAGAGATACCACTTTTAGGCAAATGATTCAGGATGTGGTGATTATAGAAAACAACATACTAATCTTTCTGGTTAGTTTTAAATGACGGTGTTTAGTTCACACAGGCTTTTTGACAAGGTAAGGAAAAAGGAAATGGAATGTTTTTAAAGAAAGCGTATCTTCTCTGCATGCTCTCTGACCTGGTTATTTTTCTACCCATCCCCATGCCCCCATCCCTCTTTTCATTACTGTCTTAAAATGGGCATTTTGTTGGGACCAGGAGGGGAACCAAGCTCTTGGCGTGACAGCCTCATTGCTGAGAGCCCAGACTCTTTACTCAAGGATATTCCTATGTGGGAGGCTCCCAAGCATCTCCAGTCTTAATGTCTCTTCTGTGCGTCAGCTTTATTTTTTTAAATCCAAATTATCCCCATGTCAAACCTAACAGGGGAAAATTTCTTGCACAATACTTCTATTTGTCTGTATCTATTCTTTATTCCTTCTCCCAGAGAGAAAGAGAGAGAGAGAGAGAGGGAGAGAAGAATGAGAGAGAGAGAGAGAGAGTGTGTGGCAGACAGACAGTTGAAGGTGTACCTCAGTAGTAGAGCACTCCTGGATTCAATCCCCAGTATCATACACGCAGACACCCACGCCCCTTCAATGGCTCTTTACTATCTTTAAGATAACAGTTAAGGAGAACAACAACGTTGGGGTTTCCCCACACATTTGAAATGAATCCTTACAATTTGAATTTGTTACTGTTCTTTCCATTTCACAGATGAGGAAGTAGAATCTCAGAATCTCAGAAAAGGCAAATTGTTTGTCCAAAGTAACTCAGCCTATCAGGGCAGGATATGGGAATTTCTGGCAATAGGTAATAGTCCAAGACTCTCTGACTCTAAAGACCACATTCTTTTTACTGACCATAGCAGCTCAACTGTTCTTGTACTACATGATTTCTGTTCTACCTATGACTTCCTGGCCCAATGTCAGCTTATCATTTTTCTTGTATCAATTCATATTTTTTACTTACATGCTTATGTTAAAATAAACTTATCATTACAGTTACTAGAAAACTGGTGGCCTTGCTGTTTAGCTCTAATTGCCTACCATACCTTTCCTCGCCCCCCAAAAGACGAGCCTTGCTCAGGCCTAGTGGATGCCTTTCCTGCTGCTCTGGACACCCAGCACATGACAGGATGCATTTGTCATGCGATGGAAGCCTGTCCTCGCCCCAACTCCTCTGATGCCTATCATGGTGGCCTTACTAGTCACATGGCAGTGGATGACTTCCTTCACCTCTCTGTGACTTGGTTTCCCCATTTCCCCATTTGGGATGAGAATACTCAGCTCAGAGGAGTTGTGAGAATTGAAGAGGGTGATGATGTAGAGCCACTGGCAAAGAGCAAGGCCTTCCCAGACACCGGCCACTATCATGACTCCATACCTACTGTGTGGCAGCACACAGCTGGGGTTGGTGGAACGAGGAGGTGGGAAGGGGATGGGAGGGACCCAGAGAGACCCCCTAAGTCCTCATGGAGGAGGAAGAATTGGGGTCTATGTGGACCTGGCTGGGGAGGACTGGGAGTTCTTGTGGGAGCAGTGAATGAGGGGTGTGAGCTTCATCTATATGCAGGCCAGAGCTCTATGGTTACATCCCTCATTTTGTCAGCACTTAAAGCTGTGCAGGGGGACCCAAGGGACAGGCTTATTACTGTAGAACAACCATAGTAATGGTAGTAACACTCGAGTTCTCCCTTCAAATGCCTGCTGCAGTCAAGCTGCAGCCCAGGTGCTTCCCAGTGTAAGTACCATTCAGTCTTCCCAAGAGCCCTGAGGAGGGCACTACGCTGTTCCCATATCACATTTGAGGAAACTGACACACAGCCTGGGTATGCAACTTGCTCAAGGTCCCTCAACCTGCAGGAGGCATCACCTGAGACAACCAAGCTCCACCCTGCCATTCTCCTTGTCTCGCTGACCAAATCAAACACACAGGAACAATATGTAACTCTATCCTTCAAGAAGGAATGGGGGCAGCTAAAAGTGTTACTGAGCAGTGGCTGGATGGGAGGAATCAGGGCTTTAGTCCTGTATAAGGAAACGGTGGGGCTGTCTCTCTCCAGAGAACTGAGCACACGGGTCAGCCCCCTCCCCGCTTCAAGTTTCCCCAGGGAGAAGCCGACTGGTTACGTGAAAATTCTTTTCAAATGTTGGCGTAGACTTAACATTTTCAAAAGCATGGCATGGGCTAGAGAAGATCCTACTTTGCTAGGGTACCTGTGGGGGCTGTTACCTTTCCTCCTGATCACCAGGGCCAGCTCCCTTGAGTGGGATTCCCGGCTAGCTTTGATGAACATCACCACCTGGTCATGGGTGTGTTCTGAGATGTCCCGGCCATTGATCAGCACGATCTGATCCCCTTCATTCAGCTTAGGAATGCAGGTGTCAGCCTGGTGGAGGGAAGCGAGTTCGCCGTTACCATAACATCACCCTTGAGGGAAGAATGCTGGGCTCTCTGAGGGCAGGCCCTGGAGACTGATCAAGTTTACCTTCCCTCCTCCAGGTATCGCTGTCACCATTTTTACATACACTGCTATGAGGACATGGTAGTGGGTTGTGGGATTTCAAAGATGTGCTGCTCAGAATGCAAATTATGAAACATTTCAGAATAAGGCTGGAGAACTGCCAAAGCTACTTCTTCATGCGAGCCAACCTTTGCTTACTATCAAAATGATGGTGATGCTTTCATCTTTTGTTTTCAGGGTATACTGTTAGAATATGATTTGCCAGCTACAAGTAAGTATGTATCTGTCTTGCAGCAGAGAAAGGAAATGTTCTTCAGCAGAAGCTAGTATGGAGCTGAGTGAAAAACAGTTTAAGAATGAAAGCTTCCTTAATCCCTCAAAATCATAAATAGTGACAAAATGTACACAACAAGCTTAAAGTGCACTTAAGAGAGAAGTCTTCCAAGTGGTTCCCTCTTGGAAGGCACAGCAGTTCTTTGATGCTCTACTGCTTTGAAAAAGTAGATGATATACGGGAACAGGAAGATGCCAGATGTGTTAATCTATTTGACCATGGTAAATGCTTCATCATGTATAAGTACCTCGTGCTGTACCCCTTAAATACATACAATAAGAAAAACTAGAAAGCAAGCCCACAAGCTCTTTAGGAGGCCTTGGCAAAGGGCTAGGGAAGGACTGGTGGTGAGGCGGAAGGAAGGGGTCCAAGATTATGATTCTACTTCAAACACGAAGAAAAGCAAACCCCATGCCTCAGTTTCCCTCCCTCAAGTAGTACTTTTGAAAATTTAATGTTCATATAAAACACCCGAGGATCTTATTATAAACGCAGATACTGGGTCAGCAGCCTGTGCACAGGCCCGAGGTTCTGCATGTCTAATTAGGTCCTGTGGGACACAGGTGTCGCAGCCTCAGGGACCACCCTGAGCAGCAAGGTTCCAGAAAACATGAGTTCCATTCTTTCTCTCCATCTACATGTATTACACACATTCTTTGCTGCTGTAAAGAGAAAAAGGGAGAGAGATGGAGGGAGGGAGGGAGAGAGAGGAGAGGGGAGAGAGGAGAAAGGAGGGGAGGAAAGGGAGAATAAATGGCACACAGGAATAGAAACCTGGTAGATTTATGGGAAAGCAAACACAGGCAGCAACCTGGGACACGTTTACTCACAGGTGACTCTGGGTTTATCCTTGAGACTACAAGAGGCATCTTTTGATCCACTCCTCCCTGTAATATTTTAAAGTGAAAAGACACTTGAGTAGTTCACAGCAAGAAAAGATAGGCAGATACCAATGAATGTGAGTCTTCTGGCCCAGGGGAGGCCTCAAACTTGGCCTATGCCAACTATAGATTTGCCACCCCTTTCAGAACCACAGGACACACTGCTGACTCCTCCACACCTGCAGGGCAACCAGAAGAGCTCTGCTCAGACAGCCCCACCCCTGCCGCCCCAACACCCCAGGTCCATGAACTGAAGATGTACTCAGACGGTGGGGGCTCCGTTACCAGTGCCCACATCCTCAGGAGAAGGGTGCCACAAGCTGCTGGGAAAGGGAGGGCTCAGTGGAGGTGGTGAGGCCTTGGGAAGGGTCACACTCCTGTGATCAGAGTGAGGCAGAGGTAGGCATGACGCTAGCTGGGGTGGCCAGCAAAGACTGCCTGCTCCTACTTGGCAGGGGCTGGGAAACCTCCTCTGTAGAGCCAGGGACGAGAGATTTCAGCCTTTGTGGGAAAGAGGGTGCTGATATAACATCAACAAAGCTGTAAAGGGAGGGGGCATGTGAAGAATTGAGTAAGGGGCTGGTGTCTCTTAACAAGTGTCCTTGAGGGGGGTGTATAGCTGCTACCAACTCTCTGAGCCTTGGTATTCATGGGTTTAAAAATACTGTTACCATTGCTTATTTTAAGAGCTCAATAAGATGGCATAAATCTAGTGCACGGCAAGTCAGGCAGAGAGCGGGTTCTTAGTATGAGGCAGTTGCTGTGGCCATATCAAAAACTCCCAGTTCTGAGGGCTGAGCTGATCTCCTCATGTAGTGGACATATGCAGTATGTTTTGAAAGAAAATTAAAAATTCACCATAAAACCTCCTTATAATACACACAGCATACCTTAAGATTAAATCCAAATTTTCCATCTTCATCCGGTGTGATCCGGATCAAGACTAAGTAGCTGTCACCATTATCATTCTGGAAAACATTAGAAAGTGGTCACTGACATTATTTCCCTAGCCAGTGGCTGGTGATAGTTTCTTTGTGTCACAATTACTTGGCTGCCTGCCCATGGGGTGGGTTACCTGGCCACTTCCACGTGGCATGGCCTGGGCCCACTCACCTTGTCACAGTAGTACTGGCTGGTGTCCTCAGTGGAGCCCCCTTTGGTCACCCTGTGGTAGTCCTCTAAGAACTGCTGGTCGACTCCATCTAGTGAGCAGGAGCCTGGAGCATTTGAAGATGGAGACACAGAACTGGATGACTTCTGGGTCAGGCATCTTTGTGCTGGGTTGTTCTCAGATAAACTCCTTCAGCGTGGGGAAGGAAGAGATATTTAATAACTGGATTAATAAGGTATCAGAACAAACACTGCCGACTGCTGGGGTTTTTACTGCTCCCTGGAGCCTTAGCAGATCTGCAAAGGTCAACTGCAGGGCTCTGGCACACTCAACCTGTCTGGCCTAAATATTAACCCATTTTGATATGGGAACTGCTGGAAACTCAGTTCCCCTCCCAGCTGCTTTAGAACACTGATGAGGAAATGGGTCGAGCTGCTCAGGTGGTTTAATTATTTTGGAGAAGGACTCTTGCTATGTTGCCCAGGCTGGCTTCAAGCAATCCTTGTGCCTCAGCCTTCCAAGTACCTGGGGCTACAGGTGTGCACCACTAAGCCAGGATCTGGTGATTTAAGTATTGAACCAGACTCTGTCAGCAAGGTCATGTAAATGGACATGTTCCCTCTCTTCTGGAAATTTCCATCTCATTCCTGCTGCTACCTTTGCTCCATAGGAGTCTGGGCTACCCAAAGGAGCAACAGCTTCATATTCAGGATAATTTAAATCTCTCCTGCTTTGCATCATTTACCTGTGACATCTGTGAACTGTCTATATTGAGATCATGAGTTTTCTCTATTTAATGTAGCTCCTTCTATATCTTAGGATTGTACTGTCCAATATGGTAGCCACTAGTCACATGTGGCTATTTAAATGTAAATGAGGTAAGTCAGTTCCTAGTACCAGCCACAGTTCAAATGTACAATGGCCATGCATGACAGGTAGCTCCTATACTGGCTCAGCACAGTCATGAATGTTTCCACCATCTCACCAGTTCTGCTGGCCACCACTGCCTTAGAAAGTTACAGCCAATTAGATGCCACAGAACTGTGTGGGTGTCTGCTCCAACTCCCATCTCCCAGGTGAAGACACTGAGGCTGAGGAGGCTCGGTAATGTGCCCAACATCACACAGCTTCCCCCTCACCTAGGAGAGACCAGTCTAAGGCACTGAGTCCCATGTATTTTTTTCTTTCCAGGCCATACCAAGCCTACTCCTGAGACATCCTGGCTCTGAGCTCACAAAGCCACAGGATCAACCATCCCCGTCCCCAACACATAGAGCTGACAGGATCTCAGCTTCTCTGTATCATCCCACCGGCTACTTCAGGGCCATGGGGATTGAGCAGGGGTCTTAAAGACCAAGAACATGTGTTCTCCCTACATTCTACAGATTCTGTTACATCCTAGTCCTATACAAAGTGAAGACAGGGAGTAGAAACAGAGGAGGCAGCTGCTTCTACCTCTTATCCATGGATTTTTTTTTTCATTAAAATGATGCTTCTGTTTCAAGTTCAAATTAGCTTACTCTGTGTGTGTGCACGCACGTGCACGTGTGTGTTTGTGGTGTGGCGTGGCTGAGGATGGAACCCAGGGCCTTGTGCCTGCTAGGCAAGTGCTTTACCACTGAGTCGCACCCCCAGCCCCAGTTCTACTGTTTATAAGAGCACCACCTAATGGTAGAAAGGGCAACTGCTAAAACTAAAGGGTTTAGGAAATGCTGTTTCCAGATCTAGCGTTGGCTGTGAACCTTTTATAAGAAGAAATTGCCTATTGGTAACTATCCAATTTGAGGTGTGAAGTGTATACACTTCAAACATTTGGATGAGTCTAGAGGGTGGGTGACTGCAGTGGAAAGGTGGAAGGCAGCTAAACAAAAACCAGAAAAGCCAGATGAATTATGTTTATTTAAATATGAATAATGTTTAATGTTATGAATGCTTATGTAATGTTATGTTATGAATTATGTTTATTTAAGCTGTGGATTCCAAAGTATTTTTCTTTGGGTATAGACTTTATTATATGAGATTTAAAAACTTTTCTTTTTATTTGGTACCGGGGATTAAAAGCTTTTCTTAACTGAATGGTGTGAAATAGCTCACAGGGGCTGGGGATTTAGCTCAGTGACACTGCACCTGCTTTTCAAGTGCTAGGTCCTGAGTTTGATCCTGGTACCAAAAAAAAAAAAAAAAGTTAAAACAGCTCACAGTACTAAATAATACTGGTACTACTATTACTACAGTATTAGTACTAACAAAATATTCAAAGTCATCCTAGGTCTCAACCTGTTTTCTAAGTAGGTTTGAAGAGGTTACTTTTAGGCAGTAATTTATTTACACAAATGGCTGACTTCTGGCCTGATCAACTGTGTACAGAGGTTTCCCATGGGGCACAAAGACATTAAGCTTGTCGTGTAGGAGGACAGACGGATGAGCGGAAGCACATGGAAGGACACAAATGACATGGTGGCAGCTGGCAGAGCCTTGGCCTGCCAGGAGTGGAGATGTCAACATAACAGGGTCTCTCCTCACTGGCAGGACTCGAGGTGCCACTGAGGTGGGTCAAGTGGGCAAGGAGAGAGAGGGAAGAGGACTGCCTCGTGGATCAAGTTCCACAGGAGTGACTGTGAGAAACGGAAGAAGGTGGGGTGAGGGACAGAAGATGACTTCGTGGGTGGGATAGAGCTGAAGACTAGGGGGAGGAGGAGCAGAAGAATTTGTCCCCAACAAAGGAAGGGGATATCAAGGACTGCCACCATCCTCTAGGAACCAGAGCAACTGTGTGAGATAGAACATGCCCCAGTCCCCAGGGAGAAAGGAGCAGAGATAGAATGTCCATCAGATGTTTCAGAACTGTAGTTACAATAAGCATCAGAAACAAAAGCTACACATGAATTCATTTCTCTAGAGAGCAGCAACATTGAAGAAATGAAAAACGACAAAGTTTCTCATGAAAGAAAGATGCTCTCCCAAGGAAGGGTGTGATGCTCAGTTTGAGAGCTGTCTGAGAGGCAGAAGGAAGGGTGTGAGGATGAAGGATGAGGACAGTGGAAGGACGAGAGGAGTCGAGGATGGCTGATGCTTCCGGCAGGTGCAAATGGAGTCCTACTGAAACAATGGCCCCTTCACCAGGATCCAAGGCAGCCATGAGATGGACATGAAGATGGGCCAGGCTGGGTTCTGGGTGTTGGTGAGATGTCTGCCCACATGCAAGTAGGCAAGGTAAAGTGAAGGTCATAAAGGTTCAGGGGAAATGAACACACACACACACAAACACACACGCGTGCGTGCGCGCGACAAATGAACCCCTGCCCCTGGCTGGTGCCCTTGAAGGAGACACTTGGATGGCATGCAGACCCCCCCTGCATTCGGGTCTGGGCCACCCCCTGCTGAGGGGCTGATGTGCACCTGGGGAATGATGGCAAAGACAGGAATGGGCAAGATGTTCAAAGGAACCAAGATTAACTTAGAGAACAGTAGCCAGGTCTATCACGTAGACCTGGAAAGAGACGCCATGCATGTTGTTTCAGGGGCTCAAGACAGGAACCTATATGCTGGCTTAGAGTCTAGGAGATGTCCAGCACAGTTTGGGAAGAACATCTGGTCTCAGCAGCCATGGTGAATTGGTTCTAGGATCCCAGCCCCCTCCTCCATGCCCAAATCCGGGATGCTCAAGTCCTTATATAAAACAGCATAGTATCTGCAATAACTTATGCACATCTTCCTGTATACTCCAAGTCATCTCTAGATGACCTGTAATACCTAATGCAATGTAAATGCTACGTATATAGTTGTCATACTGTGTTCCCCCTTCCCTGCACTGAAGATTTAACCCAGGGTCACCTCACTGAGCTGCATCTCCAGTCCTTCTTTATTTTGAGACAAAGTCTCACTAAGTTGTCCAGGCTGGGCCCACACTTGTGATTCTCCTGCCTCATTATACTGTGCTGTTTAGGGAATGACAAGAAAAAATAGCCCGCACATGTTTGGTACTGATGCAACAATCATCACAGGCCTGACTACATTTTGGGTGTGTGGCTGGTTGAATCTGTGGACGCTGAGCTTGTGGATGGAGAGGGCTGAATATCCAAGGACCAGGGTCCAACACAGCACGCCATTGCACCTGCACACTGCAGGGTGCTCTCCCTCAATGGTGGGCTTCTCAGGCCCTGGGGGCTCAGATGACAAGGCCAAAGGAATTCCTTCATTGTCATTGTGGCTGAAGAAGGGCATCTCTAAGGTCCCTTCCAATATACAGATGCTTTGAAATATAAGTGACAGCTGCCCCATATCCTGTGGAAGGAATCAAGCTCTATGCAAGAGGCAAACAGATAGTAAAGACATTAAAGGTGACAGGAAACAATACTCTGACCATTATCTCATGCTGGTGACCCATCAAAACAATTCTGATACTAAAATAAAAACTGAAAGTCTTTTGAATACAACCCTACCCTAAACGTTTGTTTTTGCCAGTGTCTTCTGCTCTGCAAGCCCATTTTCCTTTAAGCGCTTCTCCCTTGTATCTGGTGGGAGGTGGTGGGGGTTTTGTTTTTTTGTTGTTGCCCTGAAGAAAACTGACTTCTCTGCAGAATTTGGTTTTTCCCTGGAAGCAAGGCAAGAACACACTGAAAAACTGATAGAGCGATGGGAATAACAAAAGGGCACAGCCTACTTGGGCACAAAGCACACTGCCGAGGCTTCATAACTATAATCATAAACTTGCAGTGCTGCTATAAATACGGAACAAACCAGAGTGACTCATCTGCTGGAATAATGTTCACATAGCCAGAGCTGTGCTGCTTTGGGTGGAGATCCAAAGACTAACCGCTCTTTTTCTCTCTTCTTCTTCATTTTTTAAGTGAGTACAGAACATTACACTTAATTCTTTCTCTTAAAAGGAACCCTCCTTGCTGTCTGTGATATTATTCATCGGATTTCTCTGACAGAATGCTTCTTTTTGCCTTTTAACACAAATCTGCTACAGAAAACATGTCAAACTTTTTCTTAAACATTTTGCCAATACTCACTGAAGTTCCAGACACAAGTCTTTCTCACCAAGGACAGACCAGCCTGTACTTCTTACCTGGGGCAGTGGAGGGTGCCTAGGTGCTCAGAGAAGCCAGAGGCCTTGAAGCCCCAGGAGGAAGTAGTTTCATACCTGCAGGAAGAGGCCCTCCACCTGAGGGTGTGGGGCACTGTTCGATGGCCACCTGTCCCACCTGCAAATTACAGCACTAACTAGAGCCCCAAGCGGCCTACTGTCAGTGCACCTGGCAAAACCTCAGCAAGGAGAGCTGTCTTTGTATCACCACTGTGCACTACTTTAACATCTAGTTGAAAAATAATGAAGTGCTTCGGGAAGATGGTTTCGTGGAGACATTTCAAAGAGAATCAGCATGCACGGTGCAGGGTGAGCAGAGCTAGAAATCATTGAAGTCAAAAAGGCCCGAGGAAGTAAGGTCTAAATATTTTATTTTCATGAACTTAGATGAAACAACCATATGTAGCTGGTGGCTCCTATAATGTACTGCAGAGATCTAGATGAGGTACTATTTCATGTGAAGGAAGAAAAAGGAGGAAAGGCTGATGTAGGACATGCAAGCAAGCTTCTCTGAAACCTCAGATAGTCCTCCAGACCCTCTCCTCCTTTCACCAAAGCCCTACTCTGAGGATAAAGGCTGGTTAGTGCCACTGGCCTGGCTAACCTGAAGAGCCTGAAGGCAAACCCTGCCTAATCTGTTTCTATGTTCTCCCTTCCATGACCAGCCAAGGATGCATAAAGTAGCCAGACTCAGTGTTCACACATCTTTGAACTAAGGCATCGTTCCCTACCTGGCACTGACTGTGGGATGAGACCTCAGAGGGTGCTGCACCACAAGGACTCTTGGAGGCTGTCAACCCATCCCTGCTGCCACCGCCATCACCCAACAGATGGGGGAGAGGTGGTAAAGTACTCCAACTGCAGGTCAGGCGATGATGCCTAATTTATACTTGGCTTTTGAGAAATGTCCTTTCTTTTTGTAGATATTATGGGAGTTCACGTTCCTTTCAAATAAGAGAATAAGCATCTTGGGCTAGGTGAGTGTTGTCAACAGCACTTTCTGCATTGATGAGAATAGGCTACATCTGTGCTGCCCAATGTGGCAGCAACCACCTGTGGCTTGACAGCACTTAAAATGTGGCACGTGTGACTGAGGAATGTGATGCTTACATTTGAACTGGTTTTATGGCTTAAATCTGCACAGCAGATTGGTGTTGGTGGTGGCTACTGTATAGGACAGTGCACGTCTAGAGGCACCATGGTCCCATGCTGGGTTGGCAAACCATGTAGGAAGTCCTGGGCCATGTGTGCGTGTTTTCCTGAGTCTTTAGGAAGTTCCCTAAACCCTCTTGTTCTCTGGCCAAACTGACAGAGCCCAGAGTCCATGGAGGACTCCAACTGGTCCTTCATGCACATCTCTGTACTCTAGCATTTCACTTTCCGGTCTGCTTGTGGTCTACAAAGCCACGGTTACCCAAACAAGCTAACACCCATCCACTGCAGCCTCCATGATGGGGCAGCAGGCAGCAGGCTGAGCTGTGAAAGGGTGATCATTTCAACAAAAGCTTCATCCACACAGGTCACAAGGGATTACTAAACCAGAGATGTAAGGATACAGATGTGCTAAAGACCAACTTTTCTGTAGGCAGGGACAGAGGGGAGGGAGCAACACCACATGCAAAGGCAGAAGAACTGTAATTCACCTGTGAAGGCCTAGCAAGGCAGGGTGCACTTAATACTTCAAGCCTAACGGCGATAGTTGTAAACATGTACAGATTAAAGGGCCTGGTTGCTAATCCTTTGCTCTTGGGGGAGGCATTACATTTCCAGATTTGGGCCACAGTTTGGGATTTAACAGAATGGCCACCCAATGACTAAGGCTGGCTTCCTAATTGTTTACCTTTTCATATCATATATCATCTTAAAATGTCACATAATTTATGATCTATCTCTTATTTCCTTCAGAAAATGATTTGAGATTGCCTACTCTAAAACATGTCTTGGTTTCTAAAATGTATGTACATGTGAATCAAACAATGAAGGAAAGGAAAAAAATGAAAAGACCGAGGGCTGGGCTGGAAGAAGTGAATCCTGCGGAGCATTAATATGTGGCTCTGAGCTCCCCAGCAATCAAGGCAAAAAGGGAAGTAATGGATGAGTTGCTACGGAGTAACAAAAGGACTCAACCAGTCTTTCAGAAGAGGATTTTTCCCTTGGCATTGATGAGTGAGGAGAATTTGTCATATTAAGAAAAAGAGACAGGGGCCGGGGGTTTGGCTCAGTGGTTCCACCACCTGCCTTGCAAGCACAGGGTCCTGAGTTCGATCCCGGTACCAAAAAAAACAAAAATGAAAGAAAAAGAGACAGGGACACAGAAGGATTTAGAAGAAACTATCCTTGACAAATATCTGACAAAGGAAATTGGGACAGTTCAAGCTTGTCTTTTTCTTTACACTATTAATTAAAGAAAACCAAAACCCTGGGGGCATATTCTTGTTCTGAGAAGGCTTTTAGAAGTAAGCACATCTGAAAGCACAAGAGAGTAAAGCTCTGATAAGCTAGAGAAATCATAGCTCACATGCTCCTTAGAGTCTTTCCCTCTGCAAGGCAGCACGACTGAGACTGGGCTTTGCTCATGAACTGGAGAGGAGACTACAAGAAATGACAGGAATCTGGAGAGTAGGGCTCCATCACAGACACAAAGCAGTGTGACGCTGGCCCCAGGTACACAGGTGGTCTCCCGTGTGGACAGACAGGCAGTCTGACTGATGCTCTTACCTTTGGGAGCTGGCTGCAGGCACTGGCTTTTGACTCCTCTCAAAAGGCAATCTGGGGCTGAGCAAATTCCTCAACAGTCAAATTGCAGATACACAGAAAATAAAAAGCACAAGATTCTTACTCTCGGTGTGGGCTGTGGTTCTGAGAAACTTCGGAATCACTGTCTTTGGGGGACAGGGAGCCTTTGTAGGTATAAAACACATCTTCAGTCTCTGTAATGTATGTCATCTCGTTTGCGAGGTTATCCGCAGAGGAGTGGCGGGGTTTTCGGATCTCATGCCGGAGCCGAGGACTTCGCCTGGGAGGGGAGAGGTAGGGTGCAGAGTGCTGAAAGCAAATTCCTTGTGGAAGTGCGACCAAATGTCACTGATCTCACTCTGTCCTGGCCTAAGGATGCCTTGGCTGATGTCTTTAGGAAATCAGAGCCAGACAGCTTGCCTTGCACCTGCAGAATCCACCTAGGGTGATCTATATCCCTACCATTCAGCCCAGTGGAGTGGCCCTCAGAAGTGTAGTCTCAGCCTTATAAGTAGGCACGAATAGACTGGCATATGCCCTTTGGCCAATGAGTGCTGATCCAGGGTGAGTTCTGGAGCTCTCAAGATATAAGCAGGCCATTCTGGATGTTCATTAAATTCTTACCAATATGAACAATGTAGCTAAAAGGTTTAGAAGCCAAAGGTTTTATCTTGGCAAACCTCAAATCTTATTTCAACTACATCCATCCATGTGAATTCCACCTGATCCCAGAAGAAATGCTTGCTCTTTTACCTACATTCCTTAGTAAACGTGTCATGAGATGGGCATCTGAATGCTACCCTGTTCTCCAATAGCGGCAATAGCCAAGTGACTGTCACCTGTCTGGACCTCAACCATGCTTACAGCTCCTGAGAATGAAGCAAATGAGGAAATGTTCTCAGAACGGGGGTGAGAGTCTACAGTGGGTGGTCCTTGGTGCTCTACTTGCCCTCACAGTTTTTCCATCTTGCCTTTTTCTGTTACTTACTTTTCCTTGGGACTGTCAGGGCCTCTGTGACCTCCATGACTGCAATTCCCCTGAACCTGGATAATCAATAATGCTGTATTCACTGTAGAAGTGAAAAGGTTTTGTGATCCTGCTGGAAGAGGATCTATAACTAGTAGCAAGAGCTTCAGGCTACAAGTGTGCTAACGTCCAACGCTGTCAAGGACAGTTTCTTCTAAATCCTTCCATGTCCCTGTCTCCTTTCTTTTGTCTTTTTTTTGGGGGGGGTACTGGGGATCAAACTTGGGATCTTGTGCTTGCAAGGCAGGTGCCGGAACTGCTGAGCTAAATCCCTGCCCTCTGTCTCCTTTCTTAATATGACAAATTCTCCTGTTTATCAAGGCCAGGGAAAAATGTTTCCTTCTAAAAGATTAGCTTGAGTCCTTGTTATTCAATAACATATAGCTCATCCATTAGTTTCCTTTTTGGCTTGGATCCCATCGGGGGCTCTCCCTGGGTCCTTGGCATTGCTATCTAAGAGATTTCCAGATAAAGGAAGCTACTACTGTACAGCATAAATTTACCTCTTTAGGTGAAGTGCCTACATCTTGCAAATCAAGAAACAAGTCTACTTATCATGTCCTGATTTCTGACACTGTATACCATCATCATCCCTGGCCAGAGCACCTGGAGCCCAGTGGTGGGTCCATACCTAACAGGCCCTGCACAGTACCTTCTCCTTCTATCTCTCTTGGTTTCCCTTAGTCCTAATAGATCCTGGTCTGGGAACTTACATGCCTACCTGTCTTGCACCTTTCCCCCCTTAGATCCCACATGTTAGGGAAAACATGCCACACTTATATTTCTGAGTTTGGCTTATTTCGCTTAATATGATGAACTCCAGTTCCATTGATTTCCTTGCAAATGACATAATTTCATTCTTTACAGCTGAATAATACCCACTGTGTATATATACCACATTTCCTCTCTTCCTTCATCTGATGATGGGCACCTAGGCTAGTTCCATATCTTGGCTACTGTGATTTGTGCCTCAATAAACATGACTATGCAGGTGTCCCTATGGTATGCTGACTTTAATTCCTTCAGATATACACCGAAGAGTGGTAGAGCTGGACTGTATAATAGTCCTATTTGAGAAACCTCCAGACTGATTTCCACAGTGGCTGCATTCCCACCTGCAAAATAGAAGGGTTCCTTTTCACCTGCATCCTTGCCAGCATTTATAGCATTTGTATTCTCCATGGTAGCCATTCTGGCTGGGCTGAGATGGAATCTCAATGTTGTTTTTGATTTGCATTTCTCTCATGGCTAAAGAAGCTGAACTCTGGCCACCTATACTTTCTTGAGAAGTGTCTGTTCAATTCATTTGGCCATTTATTAATTGATCTTATTACTAGTTATTTTGTTATGGTCTTGAGCCCACCTTTCTTTAAAGCCACCCTGCTGATCTGTGTGGAGCTGGGAGCAAGGTTTCACTGCTTGGTTTCCCCTTGGTTGATGCCTGACCTTTTTAGAGGCATTCACAAAAACAGGCTGTTGCCTTTGGAGACCATTATAATAAAATTCCACCTGACCCTTTAAAAATGTGTTTATACAGCACTTACACATCATGATGTCATTTTTGTAACCATTTTATAGATGGGGAAATTGATACCAGAGAGGGAAAGAACTTTATTGGTTAACAGAAGAGCCAAAACCTGAGTTCATGACTCTCAGCTAAAAACCCAAACAGCCACATCCTTCCTTTTTCCCTTCCCTTTCTCTGCCCCTGCCTCTCTCTCCCCCTACCCTCCTCTCTCCTTCTCCTCCTCCTTTTTCTTCTTCTCCCCTGCCCCTCTTTTCTCTCTCTCTCTGTGCTGAGGATCAAATCCAGGGCCTTATGCATGTAAACCAAGGGCTCTGCCACTGAGCTACACCTCCAGGGACACACACAATGCTTCCTTTTAAAATGAGTCTATCCTTTTAAAAGTTGGCAGGTTTTCTATGTGCATTTGCCTCTGCTGCTGAGGGTCACATATCCTTATATTCTCCACATCATGTACCTTTATTGGCTTTCCCAGAAATTCATTCTGTGGTATGTTAATAGAAAACACAAGATTAAATAAAGTTACACATGCTTCTTTAACACAGGACTTTTCAGAGCATTTAACATGCTAATATGTGCTGTAATTCTAAGCACATTTCAGCCAGCTACCATTTCCAAATTTATTGAGATCAGATACATTTTAATAAGGAACATTTCAAGCATACAGGTGGAGGAATAACTTCTAATGTTCTAGCAGTCAGCTGCCAGCAGTTAACTGTAGATTTCTAAACAACTTGTAGAGAGGTTCTTTTTTGGTACTGGGGATTGAACTCAGGACCTTGAGCTTGTGAGGCAGCTGGTGGCACCACTGAGCTAATTCCCCGGTCCTACAGAGGTTCTTAAATATTTCCTACACAAAGAAACAGTAAATGTTTGAGGTGATGGGTGTATCAGTTATACTGATCTGATCATTATATATTATGTATGTATAATAGAATATCACACTGTACCCCATAAATATGTATTATTATGTCAGTTAAATTTTTTAAAAAAATTAAAGAAGAGCCATCTCAGCATTATATGCTATGGAAATGTTTATACTTGTATACTTCAGGAAAAGTTACTTCTCCAATAGCCTAAAATGCACATGTAGGCTCCGACTGTAGACTGGGTCTATGTTTAGGAATTTATAAGCTGAGTTTGCCTTTTTAAAAAAGAGTAATGTCTCTCGGTGTGTGATACAAAGGTGGACTCACCAGTTGGGGGTGACTGGAGGGGACCGGGAAGGCAGGCTCTTGGTTTCTAGGTGCTCCACTGACAAGGACCTCCGCATGGCCGGGTTCCACACCATCCCTCCAATCAACTTCTTGCAGTATTGGTTATTTACAGACCTGAAAAACCACAAGTAGGTTCACTTTCCACACTGACGTGTCCAACAAGAAAGAAACTGCCCACATGTGAACCACAGTCTCTCCATACTCTTTGCCTGACCACGGCTGCTCAACTCGTATGATGCCTACCTGACGAAGAGGGGTGGTGGAAGACTAGTCTCAACAGAGTCCTTTCTGTCCTGGAGGCTCCTTACGTTATTTCTTCTCTTTTGGTGAAAATGTTTTTGTGTCTCTACTACTTTAACCAAAATGCTTCTAGAATATAACTAAACCTTACCAGATTTGAAGGAATGTTAGGTTAGCATAGAAAGAACGTGCAAGTAACTTCAAGGGATTCTCACTTTACTCACACGGGCATGAGTAAAAATATTAACCATCCTTCCAATGCTCTGGAAGCACTGTCACTCTGGCTGGCAGATGCCATCACTGTAAATCACTGGTAACTCTTTGACACAGAATGTGGGAATATACTTAGAGAGTATAGTTTCAGGCCATGTTCTTTGAATGTGCTACCCAGAAGTCTTTTGAATTTTATTTATGCCTAGAGAATTTAAGTTTCGGAGATGAACTGTCTGTGAGAAAAGTCTGAAGCTCATTTAGGGGTACCACTTTCAGTTCTGGCATTTCAAATTTTAAACTATGCTCTAATGTCTTATGAAAACATTCCACACATTTCCTTGTGTTCTAAAACCAACCAACCAAACAAAGAACAAAAGCAAAACAGAATAAAGAACACACAAAACTAGACTCCCCCTAGAATATCATGGATTAATGTGCAATAATAAATGGTAGTCACCTTGGTCAACATGCTCACAGTGGCAGCTCTAGGAAACTTTTCTGCTGAGGTCATGCTACATCAGATACCACATGACTGTTGATTAAGGACACAGGATTAAAACACAGGGAGCAAGCAGCACGAGTCTAAGGTTTAATGGAGCAGATCTCCAAAGCATGTGTCACAATTTATTAATAGGGACTGAGAAAAAGTGTTCCATTGTTATAAGCTTAGAAAATGCTGACTTGGAAACTTTGATAGGGCCACAAATGTATGGCTGTGTCTCTATGGGTGGACAAATCACGTATAGTCTCTAAGCCTCAGTTTCTTCATCTGTAAAATAAGTACAGGTAATGATAACTGAAATTCATGATATGCTGACCTAGTGCCCTCAACTCACCCTCATGCCTCAAGTGAGCCCCTGTAGCAAAGATGGCTACTGGTTCACTGACTCCTAATTCAGGGCTGCCTGTGACTGCTTTAACTAACAGAAGCACTTGTGCCACTTTTGGGCTTCACCCTTATGAGGATGGCTGGGTCTGCCTTTGGCTCTTGGAGCCCTGAGCCTCCACGGAGGAAATTCAACTCTCTGCTGCAGAGCCCACCTGGAGCCCAGAGGTGAGGAGCTCAGGTGTGTCAACCATTCCCCCAAAACACCAGGCAATAGAGAGAAGCTGTCTTGGACCCTCCAGACCAGTCCAGCCACCAAATGCATATCACAAAATCTTGTCTACACATGCAGCAGAAGAGTCATCTAGCTAAGCCCTTCCTGATCTCCTGACCCACAACATCTTGAAATGCAACAGAGTGGTGGTACTTTAAGCCATTAGGGTTGGTCTGTTATGCCACAAGAGATGACTAGAATCAGCCTCCTGCACTGGCTTCAGAGAAGGAAGTTTTGTAGATGAGGAAATTCAAGTGACAGAGGAAGGGTTTGAGGCTGATGAATCTGGCCTAGGGGAATAGGTCCCAATCCAAGTCAAGACCACATTCCAAGAGACTTACATGGAAGGAAATTGCTCCATTTTAATGAACTCACAAGCAATAACCTTATAACAGCTGGTTTAAAGAGGATGCACAAACATGAGCCCACCCCCCAATTCTCTACTATCTGGGTGAACTTCTGTTGTGAGATCACCCTTTTGCACTGCCACTGTGGAGCAAGGATGCTGTCACTAGCAACAGAGAAGGGTGACTAGTGGTTTTATACCATATACTTTTACTCTCAATTATATTTTTTAAACTAAAGTAAATTGGTCATGAGAGCCAATATTCCATGGCTTCAATCTGAACTCCTTGATTAGACAAATCAACTGCACTATCTCAGGACTTCACTGCCACCCTCACAGGGCTTAGTGTCACCCTGGTTCTGGGCACATTCCAAAAACTGTTTTATCTCATAGAAGCATGGGGTACCTAACTGCTGCCTCTGCTGTGCCAGCTGGGTTCTCCGAGTCTCCTGGAAAGTGATGTCAGGTCTTGAGGGATCAGCATCACTTTGTCCACCAAAATCCCAAAGATGCATGACCCAGTGCACTGAAAGAGCCAACAGACACACCAACTGCAGTGGCTGCCACCTAGGCCATCAAACCTGGCTGGCAGGATATAGCAGTAGGTGAGGACTGCAGATGGTGGGCTGCTGCTGTTGCTTGTTTGGGTGCCACTCTCCTGCAAGGAGCCACGTGGAGCTTGGGCTTGCATGTGTCATTGTGAGTGTGCAATGCCTCTATATCTAGAAACTCCTCCAAAAATTATTCTCACGACCTATTCAGTAATAGCTACTGAATACAACAAAATACTAGATAGTATTGCAAGAACTAAAAACTTCAAAAATAGATTTACTCTTGGTTCATCAGAAGCTGAAAGGGAACATTAACACCACAAATAGTATCACTCATACTAAAAGAAATTTGCCACTTATTGAATCTGTAAGTTATCGAATGACTATCATGTACTAGCAAAGCCATTACTATCACAGAACAGTCTGAAGCAGTTTCACACACCAGACAATGGGTCAGATATGAGCCTGTTTAGTAACAACCACACTGATGACAACAAATCACAAAAACAATTATGAAAAACTAGCGAATGATTTAGAAATTCTAAGAGTAACTTGATAAACAATTTCTGCTACCTCATATTCAGAAGGCGGCCTTAGAACAAAGAAATAAAACAAAATTATAAATGATATGGTTATTTGAGAGTCTAAATAAATTTTAACCTAAATTAAAATCCAAAAATGTACATAAGAATCACACATACAAATGTATATAAACTTCTTTTACAGTTACTAGTCATTAAATATTCTGAATGTCATTCCTGTGGACAACAGTACTTATAGGATAGTTGTAAGAACTAAATATAATTCAGTACAAAGTAAATACTAGGTCACTGTCAACTATAGCTATTAATATTTTGCAATTATTACAGGTAATACATCCCAACGTCATTTGACTCGAGAAACCTTTACTTCTATTCATTCTGCTTTTGTAGAGCATATTATGAGATTAATGCTCTGTGGGTGAGGTTGGTTTACTGACTGGGAAGCCCTAAGGCTGGCAACAGAATGACACTCAGAGTCCTTTACTGGACAGGGTGTGGGGGCAGCTGTGATTCTGTTTGCCAGGGAACTTTAAGGAAAGTTGGAGAGTTGAGGGAACAGAAGCCAGTGCTGGAAATGTGAGGTGTACCTGGGGATGTGCAGAGACTGTTGCTCCTGCGGGGACTTAGTCACAGTTTCAGGGACGCAAAGCCTAGGACTCCTGGGCCACAGCATTCCCTCCTCTGTCAAAGATGTCCATTTCCCGGTAGAGACCAGGACACACTGGCATCTCAGTTTAGTGTGTACACTTTCCCTAAAGCACACTCACTTTTTGGGGTTCCTGGAGCCCAGAGTCCAGTACTGAGACAGAACATTCTTTTCTTGAGGTAGTAACTTCTTTGCCTGAAAGAAGGTATGGTGCTCAACACAAGATTTCCACAAATTTTTGCAAGATCGGTAATTTAGCATGTTGAAGGCCACGATATGTTCCCTGGATTCAGGCTGCAAGGAAAAACAACAATGACTTCATTGCAAAAATGTAGGAGAAAGGTCTAGCTAGCACTGTACTCATAATGGTGGCAACGAGATAAGAGGCAACAGAGAGCATAAAGCAGGCCTTGGCCATGACCTAAGTGTTAGGGGAATACTCCAGAGCAGGGCTGTTAAACCTCTTCACAAGTGTGGTAATAAAGACGACTAGAAATACTCCTCATCACCATTTGTGGTCCTTCATGGGCATTCTTGCTTCAAATCTGCTTACATCTCAAGGTTGAGTTTACTTGGAGTGACATCTAATAGAATCTTTTTAAAATTTAGGCCTGAGAATATCTTTCTCCTAAAGAAATACTTTTTCAACTACTAGATGAGAGCAATTTTATAACTCTGGGGATTTCTCCATTTGCTTCCCATAGAGCACAGGGTGAAATCTAGTGCTAATAAGCATTTTTCTTCAGTTTTTATTTTTTATTAGTAAATGTTTGCAGTAATGATTATATTCCTTGTATGGAGTTGGTACATGTACATAACACATCTCAATTCTTTTTTCATCCCCTTTCCCTCCTCTCCCTCCCCCTCTTGATCCCTTCCCATTTGAAAAAGATCTACCTTCCTATTTCCTATTATCTATCTTTTATTTTGCCCTTTATTCATATTTTTGGTTTCTCACATAAGAGAAACCAGGTGATATTTAAGCTTGTGTGTCTGATTTATTTCACTTAACATTATGGTCTGAAGGTATATGTATGTATATTCCTCAAAAAACTATTATAAACATTTTAATCACTGGTTTTGTTTTCATTTTACACGGGTTTATGTTTTCTGATTTCTTATGCATTTTTGTGCCACCCTGAATCCTGTTCTAGGGGAGCTGGGTGGCCCAGATTCTACAGCTTGCTTGCTCTGAGTTTTAATGTTCTCATTTCTAAGGGTTCATTGCTATATGTAGCTTTTTTTTTTTTTGTGGTAGTGGCAAATGAATTCAAGTCCCCTGCATTAAGCTACATTCCCCAGCCCTTTATTTTGAGACAAATTCTTGCTAAGTTGCCAAGGCTGGGGTCAAACCTGGAATCCTCCTCATTCAGCCTTCCAGAGTGCTGGATGTGGTGCCATTTCAAGGACATATAATCCTTGAAAAACTGGGAACTGGACACAGTGATAGTAAGTGACAGATACGCAGCTTCAGACAGTCTGGTGTAGAAAGAGCAGGTGTCTTGGATTCCTAATGATCAAATTCCAACCTGGCCACCTCCCTTAGCTGTGGGAGCTCCAGCTTCCTCACTCTAAATCTACCTCTGTGGCAAAGTGAACCGAGTCTAAGTGCTGATGACTTCTCTCAGAAGACAGATACAAGTCATCGTCCATTAAACACACCAAGAGAAGGAAGTGGCCAGTGGATATTTCTTGCCACTCTGCACGGGCTCTGCTGTGTGCTCTGACCATACTGTTTTGTTTGATCCCTACTGTTCCTCGAGAAGGGGATATTACTGAATTTCTGGAAACAGAAACTCAGAGGAGAGGAGGTTATGTGATCTGCTCAGCTGGTAAGGAAAGAGTCAGGTTCTGAACCGACTGTCTCTGATTGGCAAGCGAGTTTCTTTTCCAATCAGAGATGCATGACTTATACGGAGAACTACAGGACCCTCTACACCCTGTGTCACTGGCAGTGGTGACCCTGGAACCACTGTGCAGTGCTGTTTCATCCCTGTTATAGATGGCAAATTGCCTCCAACCCCTAAAGAACTAAGAGCTGAGATGGATTCAAAACACAAGAAACAAAGCAAGCGTGGATGCAACTCACCTGTTTTTGTCGCTGATGTATAAAGAATTTTTTCCTTTTGAAAGAAATCTTGAGGATGTTCACCCTGTAAACAATAAAACAGAGCACAAACAAACAAAAAACAAAAACTAAACCAAAATACAAAGAAATCACAGGCATCAGGGATCAGCTTGTGTCCTCTACTCCATGGTCCTGGTGACTGGCAGCTTGCGGATGCCTGGAGATGCTGCCAGCCCCACTGCCTCAGCCACACACCGAGGAGCTGGCTGAGCTGGTCTCACACAGGGCCTCTGGACTGTGACGTAGCCTTTAAATAACAAGAAGCTGGGCCATGTGCTATCTTTGCTGTAAGCTTCCTTTGTGACACTGGTGCCCTGCAGGAGCTGGAGCACACGTGGGGAAGACAGCTGAGGGCAGTGTGGAGCAGCAGAAGGCAGACAAGCCTGGGTTGGCACCAAGTCCATTACTCAACAGCCATGTGCCAAGGAGCCTCTTAACCAAGTGCATAATTCAGAATCACAGCCACTATTAGTGGAGTATATTTTTATACCCCAGGCCACTATGAAAAGCTCTATAAACATCCTCTCCATAAAGTGTTGCTACAACCCAGAAAAATACATATTGTTACACTGTATCTTATTTTCAGATGAGGAAACATGCTCAGACACATTGCTGCTGAGAGCCAGGATCTGAGCCTGGGGCTCACCTGACTCCAAAGCCTATGCTCTTAGCCCTCCATTCTGAAGTCTGAACTGTGGAGTCACAGTGCCTTTCTTGCAAAGTACTGTAGTCTTGTGAGGATCTGAGGGCTTAAGTATAGGAAGTCCTTAGCATGTTGCTTGACACACAGTAGGCCCTCAGTGCTTGTTCCTTCCATTAAAATTAGTTAACAAGTTTCTCGTTCTTAAAGAACGAGAAACTAGCGACATTTATGGCTAAATGGATGCATATTGAGGCCATCCTCTTAAGTGAAATAAATAGGACACACATGTGTAAATACTGAATAGTTTCTCTAGTGTGAGAAACTGAAAGTGTAAATAAGGATACACACGGATGAAATTGCCTAATAACATATTTATTGGATTGTGTTTCTATCGCATGTCATATGACTGTATTGAAATTTAAATTAGGGAGAAGCTTGGCTTATGTGGAGTCTGCTAACTAACTGGAGTTTTTTTCCAGAACACTATTTTTTGGTTTTGGGGATCTTTCTGAAAAAAATCACATCCTCTGGTGTCTTGTTGGTGCTTGAGATGCTTTCTTAAACTATATGGAAAAATGTTTAAGTGCTTTTCAGTTTTGTTTTGGTTGAGTTCTACTGTATTTGAGTATTATTGTAGTTTTTTTCCCCTTGCATTGTTCTTCTTTGAATGATTTTAATTTTTATATGTGTGTGTTTGATAATAAAGTTATTTTAAAAAATTAGTTAACAAGTTCACTTTTTAAGTCAATTTCATTCATTTACACCAAGCTACTGCAATCCACACAAGAGAGATGAGGGCTGGGGATTTAACTCAGTGGTTTCACTGCCTGCCTCACAAGCTCAAGGTTCCGAGTTTGATCCCTAGTACCAAAAAAAAAAGTGTATTTCCCCATAAGAGTCTTCTGCATACTTGGGGGAATAAAGGAAGTCCACTGTTCTCTAGAATCATATTAAGATCTTAGTAGAACATTCCAGAACAGAGAGAGAACCCTTACTCATCTAACATTTCCCCAGCTGGATCAGATATAGATACCACCTTGCTCTCTTGCCTCTGGAACCCCATAGGGGCCTCAGTTTTGCAGAAGTCAGGAGAACCAACTTATCAGCTTCTGAGTTCTTCCTTTACCTTGCTCAACCCACGGGAAGCTGCGGACCTCTTGTTGCCCCATTAGCTTCACACACAAAGGGTCCCCTGTTAGACACTCAAGAATTCCCACTCACTGCTCCCTCCTTCCCATGGAGACCCTAATTTCTGTACTTGACAGCTTTCTGTCCTAGAGGAAATCTGATAAAGTGCAAACACTATCAATGACCTTCCAGGGGTTCCCTACTGCCCTCTACCCTTTCATAAGGAAAAAAACAATGCACAGAGTGTCTCCACGTATTGAGTCCTGTGCCTGTAATAGCCTCTGGGAAGACAGGGAACATGACAGTGGACACTGCTGTCTGGAAACATAGTCTAATGAGAGAGACAGGTACCAAATAAACAGGATGCACAAAGCTATATCACTGCTAAGTGTGTCCAATGAACACATGGGAGTCTAGGATCTCACAGAGTACCAAGGATGGAGCCTCTGCTCCTGTGACCTGGGAGGATCTCTGTGGCCAGGCCTCTCTCCTGCCACTCCCCACATGCATACCACATGCCAGCCCGGCCCACTTACCTCCCTTTACTCACCACCTTGTTCTCTTGTCTCTAGAACCCACACACCACACCTTCTCTCTGTAACTTATTCCCTTAGGTCAAAGTCCGTGTAGTTTAGGGTTCACCTATGTGGGCTCAGTGTCCTTCTTTCCACACCCTGCCCTTCCACTTACCCTGCACCTAGCTTATCATGCTAGGATCACCATCCAGTGCTGGCTTCCCCACTGGTCTGAGGTTTGTAACAGAGGCAAAGGCAGAGTTGGAGAAGAACCAACTTACAGCTGAAAGGTGAGGAAGAGAGTGCCAGGCCTGCAGATGAGTGTGGTGGCCAAAGAGTGTCACAGTGCCTGTGGGTTTTGCTCAAAAGGCTGCTGTTCACAAACCTCCTTCTCAGGCCCAAGTTGCCCTCTTCCCTTTTAAGTGTTCTTATAGGACTCACATCTTCCCTGACATGCGATGGTCCAGGCCCTGGTTGTAAGGCTGAGGGGGATCAACCACAGACAGAGCTAGGTCCAGGTACCTTCCGGCCTGTGGCATCTGTGGGAAGGCCCCAGCACCCAGAGGGCCTTGTGGAGGGAAATGAGCCCTGTGCCCATCCCTTGATCCTGAGAGGCCAGAGAGGTGCCCAGGCCACGCAGCAGCTGACCAAGCTCAGGCTGGGGTTTCCTGGTTCCTGCAGGGCTTGTAATGATACCGGGGAAAAGAACAAAGGAGAGAAGATCCTGTTATCTATATACTGATTTTATTCTGAAATGGAATAGGGCTGTGACATGTGTTTGTTTTGGAAGATAGATATATTGTAAAATTGAAAATTCAGTGTCTCTACATCTGAATCCTATTTAAGCATTTTCCCACAAATACAATTTTTAGAGATGGAATAAGAGTATAGGCACCAGAGCTTGACTCTAGGTGTGAATTTCGACTACACTGATCATTAGCCTGTAACCCTGCATAAGCTCTTACTGAACCTCTTAGCTCCTCAGTTTCCTCCTCTGAAACTAAGGATAATAAAGATGCTTGTTATAGGTTTAACTGAGATAAATCAAATAAAATATGTAATGTGACCTAGACACCATGAGCACAATCTAATGATAGCTGCTATGATGATTTTTGTCTCTATAATTAAATTTATTTATAGGGTTTTTTCCTGTCATGAATAAGGCTGTGATGAATGCCTTTGAACCCCAATTTATGAGGTTCCACACTGTCAAGTCAAGGAACAGATGCAGACCTAGGCATCAAATTCAGCACAGCACTCATCTGGCACCCCGATCTCCTATCCCTTCATCCTAACACCGTTCCTTGTAGCCACTTTTCTTTATGTTTTTGCACTGCTGTTTCTGCATCTCCTGCTGCCTGCAACACTCATTCTCCTCAGCCTCGCTGGTGAATCTGCCCAACCCCCATTCTGCACGGTCACTCCAAAAGATGGTTTATTTTGATATTGTTTCCCTTAAAGAAAGCTTCACAATAGGAGATTAAAGCCAGGTCTTCACACTTACCTCCAACACCTACTTCATGTTTTTTATTTACCATGTTTCCAAGGAGTATCCCAAACCATAGGGCAACTGAAGGAGGGAATGTTAATGAAAAAACAAATTTTCCCAAGTACTAAATCTGGATCTAACCCCGCAGGTCAGAGATTAAAACTTGGGGTGAGGGGATTTCTGTTCCTTATTTAGAAACAAAAATTTAAAATTAGAGATAACATTCTTGTTCAGCATATTTTTAAAGCATGATTCAGACAATAATTAGAACTGTTTGCACTCACCAAGGATAGAAACTTGTGCAAATGTATTTTCGGTACACAGCAATGCCCGCAGAAGCAATTCCAATCATTAGCTCTAAATTGTGCAGATCCTGTAAAAAGGAAAATCTCAGATTCACAGTGTGTTACAGTCATGGCTATGCCCTCTGGTAACTTGAAAACACCCTTGCTTTTATAAATAGCCATATGTATAAGTTCCAAAGGGGAAACCGTTACTGAACACAGGCAGAAGTCTTCACTTAACAGCGACTTAAATCCAAGTACTTAGCACTAAATTCTTCTAAACTGTACACACACACACACACACACACACAAACACGCACACACACATGCACACACATAGACACACATACACACAAAGCCTGTCAGAAAACCTGGTTTATAAAGTTGCCAGATAACCCCACTCATTCTACAAAATCACTTAAATAGACACTGAGTTTTAAATGCTCAACACGTAGCATCTGATAGCCATATTAAAATCAGAAAGGCCTCTTTCCTGCATAGCTTTGTACAAATCTCAACTCCCATTACTGAAAAAGCTGTAGTTATGATATGATGATGAAAAATTACAAGTATAGAACTGACCCTAAATTCAATTAAGAAGTAACTGTTGTTTATAAATTCAATATGCCTACCCTTTACTAAGAGTCTATATGCTAGGCACTGCTGTAGACACTGAAGACACAGAAAGGCATCAGGGATCACAGGCTGTTTTAAATCCACTTACATATAAGCAAATAAAATTTAAAATAAATCAGTTCCTTCCTTAAGTCACGTACATTTCTATTTTCCAGTCAGATACTTGCAATTATAAAGGGTCTGAGTTTGAGCTGGCTACTGTGAGCTTTTGGTATGCCACTTATCAACTATGTTGCTTTGGGCTCAGAAAACCCTGAAATTTTTTCCTTTTGCACAGTAAAGATTACAGAACACATGCTGAAGGGTTTTATCAGGCTGAAATTAAGAGAATATAAGCAAAGAATCTAGAACAGAGCTCAGTATATGGAGCTTCTAGAACAGGGTCTGGTGTATAGGTAGAACAATAAATGTTCATTCCCTTTTGCTGTGGGACAAACCATTTATGAGCAGCATTATGAACAAGGGGAGTTAGAGAAACTGGATGGAGAAAGTGTTGACATGGTAAGAAGTCCACAGAGATTCACGATAGGAACCCCACTGAAATCATGTGCTTAAAGCAAAGCCAGACTTGCACAGTGCAAAACAGGGCTGCCTTTAAACATGATACCTGCAATCACAGTACAAGGAAAGAACAAATCAGCAGATGAAACAAAAACTGAGTGAATAAGGGAATAAATGAATGGTCTCATGGACCAAGGACTGGGTCTCAAGCCTCCTAATTTTATGATTTTTCCAATCTCTGACAGACAGTTAATCCTCTGACCCCTGGAGGGTCATTTCACTGACAGTCCTGAAGGTGGAGAAGGCACAGATCAACTCAGGTAGATACGGACTCTCATTTCACCGCTGTAAGGTTCTCTAAAACATTCTCCTGGAGAGTAAATATTTGCAAATGGAATAAAAACAGTGAAATCCTCAAGTTGGCATTTTGTATGATTCAATATATTTTTCCTGCTTTATTACCTACACTACACCATGTCTCCCTCACAAGACCGTTACGATACTGAAGTGAGACAGAAATGAAAGAATTTCTACAAACTGCAAAAACATTATCTAGATTTAAAGTCCGGATATATATTCAACTTCCATGGCTCGTTTCTCCCTCGTGAAATGGAGATGATCAGAATACCAATTGGACAAGGTTTCTATGGCTTCCTATGAAAGCCCCTGGAACAAGGCTAGTACTTGGTGTTCAAATGATGTTTGCTCCCTTTTGGGTCTGATGAGGGCCAATGACAGATAGAAGATGCTAGTTTGTCACTGTGGAAGGTCAGGTATGATTAGACAATGCGGGGCCGTGTACTGAAGTTACTACTTAAGCGCTATGTGACTTCCATCAAGTCCCTGAGCTTATCCATCTGTAAAATGGGGATAATAATAATATATAGCTTGTGGAATTATTAGCAGTAATACAAAATATTATTATATAGAGTAATATAGAAATTTTCTCAGTACCTATTTATTAGGTATACTTTGCATCTTGTTTTTCTTCCACAGTGACACGTATTAGTTAATTCTAATAAACCAGTCACATTTAAATATTTATTGTTTTTCACAATCACGCCATCATTTTCTTTTTCTTTGAGGATCAAACTCTGAGATGCTCTATCATGGAGCTGCATCTCCAGCCTTCTTTTTTTTTTTTAACTTTTGAGATAGTGTCTCACTAAGTTGCCCAGGCTGGCCTGGAACTCATGACCCTCTTGCCTCAGTCTCCCAAGTAGTCAGGATTATGTGTGTATGTCACTATACCCAGCTAGTACTAATTTTTTTTGTTAAACTACCATATTTGAGAAATTAACTCTAATTTGAGCACTACTTGAGATTAAATAGTAAAACCTTATCTCGCTAAACTGTCATTTGAAAAGTGGATTTATACACATTTTTTGCTTGTTTAGCCATACTGTGGAACAGTGTTAGAAAAACTACAAGTTTCTAGACCTTTGACCTCTTAAAAGGAAAAAGTCTTCAAGCACAATGCCAAATGTGAAAAAAGTAATTGGATAAGTGACCACCATTAGTTAAACATTCCAAATATTTTAAAAAAAGATACTGTGTTTCATAATGGGAAAGAAATGACATCATCAAAGTTTTCAAACTTTTACAATTTAAAATTTTAAACAATTTTTGAACTGAAACATGGCAAGGATACATACTCTACCACCGTGCAGCTCCACTCCATAGAAGTCAAGGGTCCGAGCTATGTTGATGTAGCACGATTCGGCTTCTGATTGCTTTAGCCCACTGTGGAAGAAAAGACAAGATGCAAAGTATACCTAATAAATAGGGAACACAAACAGCAACTTTTAAACATTAAAAAAAAAATCTGGAGAATTTGATCACATTCCTCTAAGGTTACTAAAATGCTTTGTTACTTAAGCAATCTAGCCCTAAATTTTAGTCAAACAGGTTCTTCTTGTTCACTGAATTTGAAATCGAGCTCCCTTGCTCTTTACTCAGTAATTATTCCCACTTAGTGGGCTCTCAATCTTCAGTGGAGAAGACTGTCACCTTTCATAGCTCCTACCCCAGTCATTCTAAATCGCTCAACTGACAAGTACTCATTAGGTCTTTCTGCTTTTGTCTATTCTTTCTGCAGTGGCACAAACTTCAAACACCACTGGCTCTGTCCTATTTTAGGACACTGACTTCTGCCAGAGGAGTAATTCTGGAAGAGAGGGTTGGCAGTGCCTTCTTAGAGGATACATTGGTTGCTTGCCCTTTGTTTTTATGGCTTTCCCAAGAAGTGAGCAGTCCTGAGAGCTGGCCTCCTGGGTCAGCGTGGCCCTCGTCTGACACAAACTGAACAGCTGTCACAGTAGCTTTGAGTTAGATGGGAAAGGGACGAGAAGGCAGGAGTTGGGCGCATTTGTTGGAGTTAAGGCTTGCCCGAGGCAACTGCAGAAGACTAGCACTCCCTATGTGACAGCAAGCAGTTTTCACCAACTGAGCCCAGGGGGTGTGGGGGTGCACACAGCCCTCTGGTCTGCCTGTCCACTTGGCTGTTTACTCAACACCTTAAGGACTGGCCTGCTTTATTAAATGTGGTAAACTGCTAAAAAGTTTACCTGGTGGGGTCAATTTGTGGGGCAATCAGATTTCAAAGCAGGCTTTTCCTTTAGGAATTAATTTCAATGACATCCTGTAAAGGAAAATAGCAGCTAGCTCCTTCGGTTCCTATTGGACTTTACACTTCATAGAAAAGGTAGTTATGCCAAATATAACTGTCACCACCACAGCTCAAAGGTTCAAAAGCCCCCGACATCTTGAAAGAGGATCATGAGCAAAAGGAAGGAGAAGCCACATCAAACACAGGGGTCTGCGATGTCTGAAAATACCTGACTTGAGCTTCCAAAGTAGGCCACCCGAGCCCCCTCACCTGTGTTGCTCGTGGAGAGATTCCACCTTGGTCAAGAAATCATCGTTTTGATCTGGTATGAACTGGCTGTCTGCAAGATAGCCTGGATGATGTATGGAAGAATTAAAGTCTCCAAAATGAGCTGTTCAGACAGAAAAAGGGGAAAATTGCAGTTAGTTTTTTTTTTTTTTTTTAAACATAGTCTGCATTTATAAGCACCTACAGCACTGCAAGGAAAACACTCCACAGGACAATAGCTTCTCATCTGAAACTTCACTGAGGGCTAAATACTGTCACATATGAGCCGCTCCCTGAGGACACCTAACAGACACTGGGAGACAGTGCCTCAACCCAGGTTCCATACCTCTGGAGAGGGCAAGAGAAAATGCACCAGGAAAAATGCCAGGCACTGTGTAGGCTCCTTTACACCCCAAGTTACTACAGCATCACACCAACTGGCTCTACAAACAGCAGGTAGGGAGCTAGGCATTGTGGTGCAGGCCTCCCAGCACTCTGGGAGGTGGAGGCAGAAGGATTCTTAGTTCAAGGCCAGGCTGGGGAATATAGCAAGACCCTTTCTTAAAATAAAATAAAGAAGGGGTAAGGGTGTAGCTCAGTGGTAGAGTGCTTGTCTAGCATGTGTGAGGTCCTGGATTCAGTCACTGGAAAAAAAAAGAAAATAAAATGGGGTAGAAAGGAGGTAATGCCAATTTGACCCACCCCGTGGGATTCACGGAGGTATATAAGAAAGGGAACTAGCATATGTTCAGAGGTCAAAAGATAGGAGACAGATGGTAGGATTGTCAGGGGACTCATGTGGGGGACCTGCGGATACATGAAGAAGAGGAACATGGAAGGATTTCTAGACTAGCTCCTGGCGTAAGAAGTACCTCTCCTTTGATTCCCTTGATTGCTTGCTGTCTGTGGACATAAATTGTTGTTGTCTATGATGTGACAGGTATTCTTGAGAGTTGTGCAGTGCCCAACCTGCACAAGTATAAATGGCTGCCCCAAGAACTCAAACAATTTGTGTGTTTAGACTATTAAGGAGACTGGGAAAAGGACCCTGGGCAGAACCTGGGGATATCACCTTCCCTTCTCCAAGGCACAGTCCTTCTATTTGTATAAAAATAGGAGTGAAAAGATCTGGACCTTTGAGGTGTTCTTTCCTGTGGTATGGAGAATTGAACCCTGGGCCTCCTGCATGCTAGGTGAGCATTCTTTCAACTGAGCTAGATGTACTTCCATCCCTTGTTCTCTGATGAGCAACTGATTTCATATTCTACTTTCTTGACAAACAAAAATGGATTTATTTCACCTTTTCTTAAAATTTTTAAAATTGATCTTTCCAAGAGTTTTATTCAATTGCTTCCTGTGGCTGGCTTCAAAGCCAGGAGGCTTTCAAGGACTCTCAGGATAATTTCAGAGCACCAAGTCAACAGATTTCCAAATCAAACAACTTCTCTGTTACCAGGACAAGTGTGGGCAAAGCCATGGTGATGCTCATGCGCAATCCCAGAAGGAAAGGTGCACCACGTGACCGCTTAGGTGAATCTCGTCACAAAGCCAAAGGGGCAGGTGCCAAGGCTGTGTCTTTGTCTGGATCTACTCAGCCTCGTTCCCTTCGCCTGCCCTCAGACTGCTGGTCTTTCGAATCCACACCGCCACAGAGGGATCTCTTTCCTCGGTACACTGTCTCTTGAGGGCTGAAAGTGGGTCACATTCACCTAGAGGCTCCCAACATGGCACCCAATAGGGGCTCAGGGAAATAGGTCCTAGGAACTGATTTGCAGAGAGGCTGATAGTGAAGCTCAGGTGTGGAAGGGGAAAGGGCAGGAAGCCAAGGGACCTATGCAGACTCTGTCAAGGTTAGGTGGATGGACCTTGATGGACTTCCATCAAGGTTGCATGATGGAAGTGCAGGTATGGCAGATATGTTTGTGTGTATGATTAAGTGTACAATAGTATGGTTATGGGGAAGCACTGTGATGCCTTGACACAGGGTACCCAGAGAGGAAAGAATCAGAATCACTCTGTTTAAACTCCTTATGTTAAAAGGGAAGAAACTGAGGTCCTAAGGAGAAGGGACCTACCTTTATCCCAGGGCCATTTTTTTTAGCAGGGTCAAAACCAGAGGCCACAGGATCCTATCCCTAGTAGTGTCCTACCACTCTGCCACCCTGTATTCCAGGCTGTGAGCTGCTGCTGTCCAGTTGCTGATATCCCCAAAGGCTAATCAAATGCTACAGATTACTTTATTGAGCTTAAAGGCCGCTGGTCATTCTCTCATGAAGACCCTCCTGGATCCTAACCTGGTAATCCATCCTATTAACAGTTGCAACCCTGAACTATAAGCTTTTCTCTTTAGCAAAGTAAAGGTTTTGAATTTAACAGACAACCAATGAACCTCTGTTGGGTGATTTTCCCTTGACATCTTAAGCAGCTATTCTGTGCAAAGCTCTCCATGGCAACCACTAGGGGGAAACAAAGTTAAACCACACAAACATTTGCAAAACACTGGATAGTTGGCACATTTATTTCAATGACAACACTGTACTCGATGCCTAAGATAACCTAACAATGATCAATAAATGCTTTTATCCACATTAAACATGTAAGAAAACTGAGGAAAAAAGGGACCTGCCACTGCAGCTCAGCTGCTAACTGCGAACTTAAACTCTGACCACAATCCTTCTTCTTGTCTCTTACCATTATGCATCAAATCCCCCAGTAATACATTTTCCTATTTGCTGGGAAGCAATACATGCAAATGTTAATTATAGCAGAAAGAAATAAGTACTCGGGTGCAAAGTACTTTGAATTTTAAGTTTGATGCTTTCTTTTGGCTGATTGATAATATTTTATGTTATGCAGCAAAGTGAGAGTCCTGCCCAGGTTCTCAAAGTGTGGCATTGTGAGCTATGCAACTGCTCTGTTGGAGAATCCTGTATCTTCTATTCTTCCAATTCCAACTTGATCTCAGAGGCTCTTTTTGGTGGTCATTCCTAGTATGCTTTTCTAGACTCTCCCCAAGCAGGATGCGGGGCAGTCTCTGTGCTTACATTACAGGGTCTTTGTCTGCCCCACTACCAAGGTGTTCTCCCTTTGGGAGAACAGCAAGCTTTCTCCATCCCCAGGTTGGTGTAGAGCCCACACGCGGCACAGGCTCAGAGAGCATTATAGAATTCACATACATTCCCCCAAACCTTATTCTTTTTGTCTCATAAACCTTTGAAAGGCCACTGGCAATCTTCCACCATCATGTCTTTTTGGCTATTTTACCTACAGATTATTTTATTTTTTTATACAATGAGAAAATATGCTTTTGGCTAGCTGGTCTGTGGTAGGCTTAAGTATTGAACACCCATCTTGGGACAACTGAGCAAAGTTTATCAGATAAAATATCCAAATTACTTTTTGATCCAGTAATACTATATCTGAGAATTAATATTAACTCTAATTAATATTAACATTGTATCTGAGAATTAATATTAATTCTTAATATTAATAATATATTAATTGTATCTGAGAATTAATCTTATAGAACATATGGATGGAAATATGCAAATGTATATATTTATTTACTGACAGTGGAGGACTATAAAGAGCTTGTACTTAAAACAACTTGCTTGACAAACCAGGGTTACACTATATGTTGATAATGCTAATATTTCCAGTGAAGCCAGTTTGCATTTTAGGTGCCAATAACTGTCTTAGCCATTTTATCAGTCTTTTGCAGTGGAGATCTGACTACAGGAACTTGGACAGAATGTTTTAAATATACTTCTTAAATTTAACTGCTAAACAGAGTTTATTATTCCCAATAGGGAATTTTTTTAGACACCTTTCTTAGGGGAAGACATGAAAATACACTAAGAGTTAACACTTACCATGTACCAAGCACCATTCTAAGAGTTTCACAGACAGTCATTCATTTTATCTTCACACAACTCTATGGAGCACACATTGTTATATCCCCATTTAACAGGTGAACAAACTGAGAGCTCAAGGTCATGCAGGTGTAAGTGAAGGAGCCAAGACCCAGGAGATATGGCTTCAATCCATGTTCACATGGACTCAAGTGAGGGATGGTCCAACAATAAAGGATTTTTAGTAAAACGTTATTTTTACATCTGGTTATGGTTAGGGTATTACTTAATTTGAATCAAGCAGCCATGCTGCAAGCTGTCACAATCCAGTGCTGCCACCATTTTACAGTGAGAAACCCGGGCTTCAAAGAAATATTACATAAGTGGTCAATGGAAAAGGCCATTTAAACAGAGTGAGACTGTCTTCTTTCTAGAGTTCAAACTCAAAGCTCTAGCTATGAACACCCAATTTGCTCTGTGATTTGGAAGAGCTCAGTCTCCAGCTGATCTACCAGGCAGAGGTCTAGAGGTCCACAAAGTACAGGGTGACTGGTGACTATGCCATTTTCCACATGGATGCAACAAGGCCAGGACTGTTTCAGGTGTAATACAGGGAGATGAGAACCTTCAAACCTGTGCAGGGCCCACTGGGAAATCTGAGTTTCTCACTGGGAAGGAGAAAATTAGGTGAGATGGATGGGGTAACACGGAGTCTTGTCTACTCAGGCTCACTGTGTAGTCATGCACTCATTCCTGACAACCTCTTTGTCCCAGTTCCTGGGTCCATGCAGGTGGGCAGGTAAGCTGAAGGTCTAGCTACCTGGCTCTTTTCTCGTTTCTGTTCTTTGCTGCCAGAGAAGGACGCAGCCTTGGAGTCACCTCAGTACATCCCCTGATACCCTTTTTTTGCTATTTTGCTTCTTTTGAGACCAGCGGAGGGCAAGTATTTTGGCCAGTGCTTTCCCTGATTCCTATCCTTCTTGCCCTTAATTGTCTACCAAGCATTCAACTGAAAGGGTAACAGGCCAAGACAGGTTTGGGCTTATGGAAAGGTGCAGGGGGTTTCTTAAGTTTTAAGCTGAGACATAGTTATACAGTGTTGCTATACTAGTATCACATAGCTAACTATGAAACGATATTCCACTTGCCTTCCACCTGGCTATGCATTCTTATTGTTTTAACTACTACTAACAACATACCCCCCCGCTTTTTTTGGTACCGGGGATCGAACTCGAACTCAGGTCCTTGCGCTTGCATAGCAGGCGGCGAAACCACTGAGCTAAATCCCTGGCCCTAACATACCCCTTTTACTGTGTACAACCAGCATCTACCACAGGACCTGTCTTGGAATATATAACTAACTGAATAGATAAATTTCAACTCTAGCTCAAACCATCCTTAATGGAAAATTCTATCTGGACTTTCTATCCAACATGGTAACCATAAGCCACATGTAGCCATTCCAAATAGAAATGTGTTGTAAGTGTAAATTCCAGACTAGCTTTCAAAGACTTAGTATGAAAACAAATGTTAAATATTTCATTAATATTTTTTACACTGATTATATATTAAAATAGTATTTTGGGGGGGCCAGGGATTTAGCTCAGTGGTTCTGCTGCCTGCCTCGCAAGCCCAAGGTCCCAAGTTCGATCCCTGGTACCAAAACAAAAAAAGTATTTTGGATACACTGGGCTAAACAAATCATTAAAAGTTAATCTCACCAATTTCATTTTACCTTCTTTAATGTGGGTACTAGAAAATAGAATTGCATATGCAGCTCTCAAATTACATTTCTATTGGATAATGCTGTTAATAGACCACCATATAATCCATTAGCTATACTGAAATTCTAAAAATAAATTCATAAGATCTCAGGAGTGTTTTAGGGAGCCACCAAGAAGCATGAGTGACTTCCAGCAAATTCCTTAACCTAGCTGGGTCTCAGTTTTCATGTTTATAAGAGGTGACCAGTATAAATATTGTCCCACTAGGGTTTGTATGGAGATCAAATCCAAATACCTGGGCAAAGGCTCTGGAAAATGCCATGTGTGATAGCTGCCTACTGTTTCATGGACTCCCTTAGGAGAGAAGGCCACAGCAGAGCTCATCCACTCCTGTCCCCGGCACTACTTTCCTTAACCCAACATCCTAAAGCTGGAAGAGAGCAATTCAGGGCAAAAGTGGGACTATCTGGGCAGCCAGAGATATGCTACTCCCACAGGACTCCTGGAAAGGAATGACTTGGTCAGTGGAAAAGCCAGTGGCTTTCTCAATACATTGGTCAGAATGATCTGTTCATCCATGAAAACACTCCCTTCGTGACTTACATTGTACTGCATAGGAAGCCAGAACCACAGCTGAATTCAGAGGGCACGTTAACCTGTCATGAGAAACACACATTAGCAAAGTACAAGAACCAGTAAGAGCCTGAAATGTTTACAGATCACAGATAACACAAGTCTTTCTTTTCTTGGCAACCATCAAAGAACAACATGAATTGTAAGAAAAACTACTCTATCATACAAATCAATCTCAAATAATAAAGCAAATGTAGTGTGTGTACAACACACTAAAGATCTTAAAAAATAACTTTTTCATATTTAAAGTAATATACATCTCAAATACCATGAAGCTAAGGGTCAAATAATGGACAGTAGTTGACTGGTCAAGAAAGGTCAGGCCCATATCTCTGAGAGGAAGAAAACCAGATTCTTACATCAGTGGGCAGCCTTCAAATCCTTTTAGTAAAGACTTGAGACTGTGCAAGGCTCTTTAACTATATTCCTGAGTCCTAGGGACTTTGTGACTCTCAATTACCCCCTTTGTGGAATAGTGACATCCTCTTAAAAGGGAAAAGTAGGAAAATATATTGAATTTTAGCACTCACAATTCCTTAATTTAATTGACTATAACTACTTAAGATTCTTACCTAGATGTATTTACTCTCCTGAAGAGCTGCAGGGTTCAATCATCTGTCTGCCTCTCTCACTCTTCTATCATCCACCATAAATCCACAGAGTTGGGGTGGATTTTCTCATTTCCTCCTAAACATTCCATTTCTGCCAATGACTCCACTTGTCTTAAGTCATATTTCAAATGCTCTGAATGCTCTCTTTTCTACCCTCAACCTTGACTTCTTGTTCTTCCCAAGAGCTCTGCCAGCAGAGTAGGAGCAGGGATCCCTGCTGGGTAGAATGGGCTAGGAAAGGAGGGCATGCTTAACATTAACACTGGGAGATACGGAGATTTTAAAAGTAATTCCCAGAATCGAGTTTGGAAGTAGAAAAAACATGCAGTTTCCATGACAGGCCATGGAGTTCCCAAGATGTGATTTGTCTACCTCTCTAACTAATCTGGTTGGCCCTCCAGAGTTCCCCTTCCTGTCCATTGCACTGTGTGCTGATTCTAAAGCTGTGTAGATAGGCAGCATCCCTTGAGGGGTCCTATTTCCCCCCAAGTAACTGTGTTCCTGCTAGAACCTGTGAATGTTTCTTTAGGTCTACAAGATGCATCTCTGGGATGCTGATCATTTATCATTCACCTGGAGATCCCAGGTGCAGGCAGAAATGTGATGAGTATCAGCCATTCGCTCTTCTACCAAGATGGCCTCAATGACATCTAGCCAGTGTCCCTGCTAGAGGGAGAGCAGGTGAAGGAGACGTGGAGGACACCTTAGAAAGAGGCTAAGGAGGCTCAGTCTAGATGGAAAGGACAATCCCATGAAGTCAGAAAGAAAAACATTTCCAAAGAACGATGTTTAAAGTACATACTACAGAACACCAGAAGCCTGCTTTCTCCTCTCCACTTTCCACATGCTCCTGGACAGAGTTCTTTCTTTCAAGGCTTCAGAGTTCCTATAAGCTGAGTGAAGAGTTGGGCCTGGATCACTCCTCTGGGCAGGGAGGACACCAGTGATGGTTCCAACAAGCCAGGGGACTTCACATCCTAGAGAAATGCTGTGTCCCAAAAAGCCTGTCCAAACATCCTTGGCCACATATGGCCTGATACACACCTGGAAAATGTTTGGTGGCAAAGATCATTGCCTCAGAGAGGTGGTGAGGGCAACATGCGGACCCGACAAGGAATGCAAGAAATCTAAGGTCCTCAAAACACTTCCATTGGTTCACACAGACAACCAATTTCCCTACTTAAGAGAGTTAGATTAAAAGCGAAAGCTCCTGAGCTCCTTGCCTTACTAAACCAGTACAGCTCAGTGCCTTGCTATCAGCAGTTATTTACAAAACATTTGCAGAAAAAATGAAGTGTTCAGAAGACAGGGACTGAACAAGTTTCTATTAGGACCCAGGAGAGGGGTGAGGAATTTCCACCTGAAGTTATCTACAATGTAAGAAGGCTGCCTTATCCTCATCTCTGGGGATGATCAAGCAGAGGCTCAAAGGTTGAATGTGAGCAGTGGAGACCACAGTTGCCATAGGATTTCAGGAGCTCTTTTTGCAGGTATGTGCTAGAAAAGTCTCTGTGGATTACTAGGATAAGTCAGAATTGGGGTTGGTAGGAAAGTAAGGAGTTGGATCTCCCTGGGCAGAGAAAAGATAACTCTCACACAGAGGAAGGATGAGCCAAATTATGAGGATTCTATCATTCTATGATTGCTAATAGTCAAGAGGCCTGGCAATCCTTTCTTTATAAGGAGGCTCTTGTTTCTTCCTGCTCATGTCTTTTCCTCAAATCTCCCTTACTATGGTCCCCAAATCTCAGCCTGCATGTCGGCATCGCTTTCTCCAAGGCTGTTTATTCCCTCCCACCTGGACCAAAACCCTGGCCTTCCTTTGTGTACACTGACATAATCTCTATAGATGTGGTCTTGCTACATCCCTCTTTCTTTTAAAAACTTCAACTGGTCTGCCTACTCTATCTGATGGATGTAAAATGAGCTTGCATTTTTCATGTAAAGCCCTATCTCTGTTCTCCTCCAAGCCACAGAAATGTGGTTACCAGCTGTTTCTGTGTGTGTGTGTGTGTGTGTGTGTGTGTGTGCATGCACGCATATGCATGCTTTGTGCACCCACGTGCACACAGAAGACATGGGTAGTGTATCTTCTCACTGCCCAGAAAAATCCAACTCCTCACCTCTCTACCATCTCCAATGCTGGCCCCTACCAGCAACCCAGACTTTTCCACCCCACAATAGCCAAAGAAGCTCCTGAAATCCTACATCGACTATGGTCTCCAGTGCCCACATTGGGCCAAACTGCTTCTGGCTTCCTGCCTCATTTCCCAAACAGGCTGCCAGCTCCCTCATGGTCTACAGCATGCTGGTGGTCTCTGTGATCCCCTTTAACAGAACTACACTGACAGGAGTAAAGGGGGGGGAGGAGAATGGAAATGAAATATGGCTGTTTCCACCAGTTCGCCCACTGCAGTTTCTTTCATGAATCAAGAAAATACTAAGGATTTGGAGGAGGCTCCAGGAACACAGGCTTGGAATTTTACCTCCTTTTCTGGGATATCACTGGATGCTTTTCAATCACTGAGAAGGTGTGGCTACATAAGAAGTGCTGAATCACAGGCAGATGCTCCTATTTTTGAGGAAGAACCTTCCCAGAGAAAATCTATCACTGAAGGAACTGGAGGGCTCAGAAGGCCTGAATTAGGACCGGTAAGCCTTGCTGAAGGAAGCCCGTTGCACATTCTGGATCTCTTTCCCCTTCACAAGTCGCAGGTCTTTACCAGAAAGATGATAGTTTACCAATGCTCAGCTTCTCTAAACCAAGAGTGAGTTGAAAACAGATGTCCAAAGCCTAATGTCTTTTTTCAACAGCCAGTCTTTGTTTAGATTTAATGTTGTTGCCAGAAATGCATCCTTATTAGATTAAAACTAGGAATGTGGCCAGTCTGACAGGAAAAGAAAAAGGCAAAATTCTCATTACCTTCCTTCACAAATATCCATCTTCAGTTGTAAGAAATACAAGTGCCTATGAAACAATCGTTTTCATTAATTCATATGCAACTAAAATAAGCAAAAAAAAAAATCACATTTTTTTTTGAAGAGAGAAGGACAAGACTGGTAGATCTGAGAAACAAAATACATAAACATATAATTTTACATATTTTAAATGGTATCAGACACTATATTGTACATTCAGGGCTGCCCCATCCATAATGACTACTCATGTTGGTGCCCTAAGTCTCCACTGGTAGGGGCAGTTTTCAACCAGTGCCGGCTGAGCAGGAGTGGGCCAGTGGAAGCAGCCTGCCTACAATCACTGATACCACTGGTACTGGTGCCAGTGGGTGGCCCCGTCCCTAGCTTGGATCTTCCTAATCGGGCACCAGGACCCACAGGCACTCCGTACAAGCAGCCCCCACACACTGCCAGACCATTGTTCTGAACATTATGCCAGCATTCACACACCCACGTTCCCTCTGCAGGAAGCTGCTAAGAGGCAGGGGTGGAGGGGTGGGGGGTGGCCTGTGAAGATACCTCCTTGGCTGGGGTACAAGAACCCAGCTGGGCTTTTTCCTATGTCCCAGGAACTGTGGGTGCTGGAACGAAAGCATAAATATCAGTATACCAGAAGTTGCCAGGACCTCCACGGTGTATCCTGCACTGGTCTATGAGTGACCAGCAGGTGCAAATTCAAAATCCTGGGGCTGTTTTGTAAGCTAGTCATCACAGGTCCTCAGGCTGTGAGGCTGCACTGTTGTCCTGGGACAGATGGGTAAAAAGGAGGCCATCAACAGCTCTGAGCAGACTATGAAGTGTCTGGACACATTTATATTTAGGGATGTACCACACATGTGACACTTGGCTGCTAGCTCCCACTCTTTTTAAAAACTCAGAATCAAATGGAATAGACATTCCACAATCTGCTCAGGAGGACAAAAGGGAAACCTCCTGAAATCTAATACAGACATGGGAAAAGTACACAAGGGCAGGAGAGAGGTCATTTTGGCAATTTAAACAAATCACTGTCATATCTTCTCAGATTGACAAAGGTTAAGGGGCTGGCTTTTTGAGATGTGAACACTTTCAACAGTATTCAAATGTCATATATGCAGTTCTGGGCCATGTTCCTGGTACTCTGTAGTTTCCCCTGGTTTTAGTTTCCTAATGACACTCAGGTAGGTACAAGCACCTCTTTTTTTTTTTTTTAAACAGATGAGCAAACTGATGCTCAGGATATGCAGGGCTAGCATGTCTTACTTTAACCTAGACACTAATGAGAAAAATCCCAGTATACTACAATTTGTTATACATTTAATGACTAAAAGATTTAGGATATACATCACAACCCTGATACTATTACTTCAATTATAATTAACAACTACCTGCAATGTGCTGAGAGATGACATTGTATATGTGTGTTGATTCATGACCATTTGGTTTTGGAGTCTCTTTTCCACCTAGGAGAACATACTCTGTCCTTTCTAGTTTGTTTCTATGTTTATCCAAGCTGACATTCAACTAGAATTAAGTGTTCTCTCCTGCTACAATGCTACTGTGAGAAAGAAGAGAGGAGAGAGTTACAGATAATCCACTGGTAAACCTTGGCTTTCACTGAAGAGCCCAACTAATCAGCATATTTTCCCAGGGATATAAATGAGAACCAGAACCTGGAGATTATCATTCACCAAACACTAACCTGTCATACACTGAGCAAAGTTTCAGTCACCCCCAGGAAACCACACGTAAGGAAATCAGAATTGTGGAACATAACTTGAATGTAGGAGACTATGTAGGTATCTTAGAGGAGCTTCAATTTTAATTAGAGACTGCCAGTAAATGAAATTCTGTTTAGAATGATTTAAAAATTTATCAGAAACAGCAGTTGTGGAGGCTCATAATAAAAAAGATGTTTAACAACTGGGATAAAGAGAAGTTATTTATAAGGCAAACTTGGAATGCCTAACAACAGAAATGTAATGACCCCTCTTACAGCATATCCCACCCATGACCTTAACTTCAGGAAAGGAGCAATGAACACCTCTCTGCCTAGATCCTTTTATAACCAACAAACACTACCTGTATACTCCTCTAACTCTTGGGAACCAAATTTCCTTAAAAAGAGAATTCACTTTTGGATAGGCTACAAAGTGGGAGCCTAATAAGATACCATATGCCAGGAATACAGGAAAAATCCCTCATGTAAATTTTAAAAAAAAGAGAAAAAGCCAGATGTGAGAAAACAAAGCTGCAATCGCAGCCTATAATCCCAACACTCTGGGTGGCTGAGGCAGAAGGATTACAAATTCAAACCCAGCTTGTGCAAAACAAAAACAAAACATACAAACAAAGGCTATGGAATGTAGTTTAGAACAAAGGTACTGGGTTTAATCCCTGTACTGGAACCCCACCCCACAAAATGCATGTGAATAATGGTGGACTCTTGTCCCAAAATAAGATAAAAATCTAGCCGTCCTAGCTGCCTACCAGCTCTACAAAAGCCATGAGAGCGGCTGTTCCATGGCTCTTGCTGCACTAAGAGAAATCTGGAGTTCATATCCTAGGAGGCAAAAGCTATATTCTATTCCACACTGGGGATACTGCCCATCTTAACAAGGGAGGGTGTTCCTGGGAACAGATGTTAGCTCTGAACCAGTTAATTTTAAGAAAGACACAGACTGGGCGTGGTGGTGCAGGCCTGTAATCCCAGCACTCTGGGAGGCTGTGGCCCAAGGATCACAGGTTCAAGGCTACCTTGGACAACTTAGAGACCCTGTCTCAAAACTTTAAAAAATTTTTAAAGGCTGGGGATATAGCTCAGTGTGAAGCTCCTGTGTTCAATCCTCAGAACTGGCAAAATATATAAATAAAATCTATATTAGACACAGACAAATCAAATTTTATGTGGGTCTTAGGTGAGAACAAATATTTATTACTCACCTTGAAGTAAAAGCTGCCTCTCAGCTTTTACTATGGCTAGTCCCACCCACTAGCCATAATGTTATGACCCAACACATCTAATTCCTCTTTTTCTACGACAGCAGCTTCATTTCTCCTACAATTCCTTAGATGTCCTTTAAATGACAGGAAGACTCAGCAGGAAGATTCTGTCAGCTCCCACTGGGCAGGAGTGAGCATATTTCCTCTTCAGGAAGGAAGCAGATACCGACAGGACAGCCATGAGGGTCACTGCAGGGGGACACCTGGGTTACCCTGCCTTGGAATCTCCTCCCTCGAGTTCCATCACTGGTGATCTCTCACATGCCCAGTGGGTGCCACAAAACTGGGGCTCCCACCAGCAGGGAGACCAGGTGATGGACAGTCACCAGTTTAGGCAGTGCAGTCCACACACGAGGCTGGAACCTATCAGCTAGTAGTAAAATCCATTTAGTGAGTCACAACTGGCATTTTTAAAAAAGGAAGCAGAAAACTTCAGTGTACTTTGTGCTTCCTATAGTTTTATAAAACTTCTTCAGAAATATACACACACACAAACATGTATGTGTGTACTACATTATGATACAAAAATATATAAACATATATTTGATTGTGGGACTGTGATTTTTTTTAAACCCGCTGGTTAGAAACCCCCCCACATACCTATGAGAATAATTTGCAGACAAACACATAATCACAAATACACACATAATGAACACACACACATGTGCACACACAGAATTCTTTGTGTAATGTTTGTGGAAATGGGAGTATGCTGTCCAGGCTGGTCTTGATCCTATCTTATCTCCACCCCTCCAGCAGCTGGAACCACAGACATGCCCAGCCTCACCTGGTTCTTCATGTCATTACAAAGTATCCCTCAAGCAGAATCTGTTGCCTAGTATTGGTCTGAGGAAGCCTTGGCAGGGTTATTTAAAACACATTCTCATAAATTTTGTCACCAACTCTATATTCATCAGCTTATGAAATGACCTGCTGGGTTGAGCATTTCTACACTGTTTCCAGTCTACCAGGATAAAGAGCTGTGGAGGAAAAAAAAAACAGAGCAGTGTGTACTTCCTCAGGGTAACCCGATGAGTCACACGGACCTTGTTTACACTGGCTTAAAACGTAACATATGGTAAACACAGCCTGGTCCCTGATGTCTGAGATGGTGGAGGAAGAGGTGCACAAAGAAGGCAAAATAGAGTGACAGGCTAATATTTGACTTTTAAACATACTAACATGTTAAAGGAAAAACAAGACAGCACTTCAAGTCTGAATTAATGCTGCCTCCTTGGTGATGTTCTATGGCCACAATGAGTGTAGAACAGAATTCAACAATCCTGAACATCCACTGGTTTTTCTTTGGTAAAATAGGTACTCTCCCTAAGAACAATAAATGGGTGGATAATGAGAGAGAGAGAAGGTTGTTGGCATAGTCTGAGTTCCAGCTGCAACAGCTTTCCTGTACCACCCACCCCCATTCTAAACACTGTGGTCCCCACCCAGAAAACCCACTTACTGAGACCAACCTGAGCCCTATGGGGTAAACAGCTCCTATCAGGCCCTCCTTCCCTTATCTGGTTCACATATTTCCTGCACCTGCTGATTTACCAGCAGATAAGCTGGGACAAGCCTGTTCTTTGTCCTAGCTCCTACAAACCCCAGATCTGATCAGAAGTCCTGACTACTGCTTGTCTCCTCATCGTCAAGGGTCATCCAGGCCTGCAGGAATACTGGGCTATGTGACTTGTGGATGGCCTGGTCTACAAATTTGCTTCCTAAATCCAGCCTGCATTACTGGACAATAATTTTCTTATCTTTTGGGCAAACTGCTCATCAGCCAAGGAGGTGAAGGGAGAGGGGGGTGGGTGCCAGCGTGCTGGAGACTGCACCAAATCTGGAGGTAAGAGAAGCAGGCCCAAGACCGAAAACTAATTCACCAACTAAAATGTCAATATATGTACTTGTATTCTTACTTGGCTCATGATTGTTGGTGCAGTCATACCCAAATGAAGTTATCTGGCCATAGTTTTAAAATGAAGAGTACATTTTTAGTGGTTACTTATTTTTATATACTAAATAGAAAACTTTAAGAAAATGTTATTACCTGGTTTGTTCTTGTTGCAGTGTGTTGGGATCAGGTATAAAAAATCTTACTCGAAAATGCAGGGAACAGGGGAAACCTCCTACAACATTTTTCAAAGACAAATTAAGTTTTCTCTTTAAAAAGTCAATGTATGTAAGTTGTTACTCTCTTACAAGTGACGTATTTTCACTCAATCATAGCTTTTCCCATTACAAAAGGGCTAATTTCAAATAAGGAGCGCATAAGTTAACTGTTTCAGAAATTTCCAAATCTGCAAAAAATATTCACACAATATCAGCATAGACTACTCTATCATCTACTTCTCATTACACGTTTAACTTAGCCCTGTGCTAAAACAATGCACTCCGTTATCTATAGTAGGAATTTTATAAATTCTTAAATCAATATATTATACAAAAGTCCCAGAGAAATAATGGCTTACGTTAACATAACAATTTATACTTTTGAAACATTTTCATGTACATTCTATAATTTAAACAACACCATGCCTAAGGAGTCAGCTAAGCTGCTGTCCCTAACCTTGTTTTACAAATGAGCCACCAGGCTTAGAGATGTAAATGACTTGCCTTAGGTCACACAGCTAGTGGCAAAACTAGAATTATAGCACTGGGATTTCTGGTTCTGCTATGAGACATTTCAAAATTATTCTATATTGGAAAACATTTCATGTTTTGTTTTGTTTTTTTTCCTCTCTCTTTTTTTTTTTTGTACCGTGGTCGAACTCCAGTCCTTGCACTTGCGGGGCAGGTGGCGAAACCACTAAGCTAAATCCCCAGACCACCATTTCATGTTTCAAATGTAGAGCATATTAAACGATTAACACGTTACTGAATATTACACAATGAAAATATTCAAATATGGCTTTGTGCATCAACACCAAGAGTAAATTCATTTGTGTGGATAAAATTAATCTATTTCCTCTGTTAAATATGGCAACAAAAGATCAGACTGTGTTGCTAAGATCCTGTGATCATTTTGCACCAGTCTCCTCTATGTGCTTAGCACTTTCTTACTCTCTGAAACTCAAGTCCTTGAGCCTGCTCCCCTCGCTGATCCTGCTGCTCTTCCTCTATTCTGGCTCATTCAAGGCTCTACCTACCCGTCTCTTTAGTACCTTCCATTTTCACCTTTGGCTCGGGTTCAAAGCATCTCTAATGGTGGGTGTACATCTAAGTGTATCTGCACAATGCCTGGATTCCAGTGGGTGGTGTTGTGACTCTGTCTACAGGCCACCTGCAACTAAGGGATAACAGAATCCTTCCACTGCCCTGGAAGCATGTCCCCCTGCCCCCGTTGCATAACTTGTCAATTCTGTCTTGGGCATAGCCTTTGTCTTTCTCATCCACCTCTGGGCACTTACAGCATTCTGTCTTATGCTTAGCACTGTCATAAAACATTCTCCTCCTGTTCCTCTTGTCTCTTTTCACACTTGGCTGATGGGGGTTGCATTTCAGAGCTTAGCCTAATGCCTTGCCAGTCTGAGATCTTAGGAATGCTTGCCGGAAGAATGAGTTAGAGAAAGAATAAATAATAACACCTATCTGTGCCTCATGTGTGCTCATTCTTGTGCATTCAAACTGGCAGGTGTTTATTTGCAAGAGGCTCTGTCACTCCCCTGGGTGCTCCTGAGCACTACAGATGTAAGCCATGGGAGGGTAAGAACTCTTAAGGACTCAGCTCCAAGTGACAGCAACACTGGGGGAAGAACTATGGCTGCCTGTGTCTACGCTTCCCATCTGGGGCAGGCTGTGCTAGGTATGTGTGTGGGGTCGTGTGCAGGTACACGTGTATGTACAAATCCACCTGCCTTTAATCCCTCTCCCACCACCTCTTGTGTGTCAGGGGCCATAAGGGATGCAGGGAGGAATGTAGCAAGAGGCCTAATCTCAAGGGACCTGCAGCTCTGAGAGGAAGCTAAAGGTACATAACTATGATATGGGCGCAAGAGTATTCAGCCCTGAAGCAGGCACTGATAAGTGACTGGAAAAGTAGAGGGAACCTTGGCTTCAGTAGGAGAGATGGGGTCTGAGCAGCCTTGAAGAATGGCAAGAGTTAGATCCAGGGACAAGCATTCCCAGCAGAGGGAACAGACAGACGGAAGGCACAGAGGGGGCCCTGCAGACTGGTCAGGTTCATTCCTAAAAGGGACCAAGGACAGTCATGGTGGAAAGCCAGACTGGGAACAGATCAAGGCAGAGGGTTGGTGAGGTGTTGCTTAAATGGCCCTGAGTTAACCAGTACTCTGGGATCACTTATGATAGATAAGTCGTATTTTAGAAGGATCAATCTCATTTTTGTGATACTATCCACCTATGGCTCAATTTCCAGTCAATGTTACTATGATGTTGGAAAGTAAAGGGGTTCTGTCTGTCTTTCCCATCCTGGCTCTTACATAGCTGAAAAACACCATTTTTCTTCCCCTTCTTTCTCGCTCTGAGCTGCCTGGTCTCACCTAGCCCCTTCTTGCCTACACTGGTGAGGATCCTTGAGGGCTGATCTGGAAGCAGGTCTGCTGGCTCAGAAGTGAGACAGGGAGAAATCATCTCACGCCTGTCTCCTGGGTCCCCGGAAACCAGGCAGCAGATGTTACAGGCACCCCGATGATAAAAGGAAAGAAACAAGCTGCAAACACCTAATGTACAACTCAAATGAAAAGATCACACCAACCTTTCAACTGCTTCCTGATAGGTTTGCTTGATTCAAGCCATCTCTGTTGGGTAAGAAAATATAAGCTATAAAACCAAGTCGTACGAGAGTTCAGCACATTTTACAGGCTGACACTTACAGGGGAGTCTGCTGAGTCTTCACCATGTTGCAAGCCAAAATACTCCTTTTCGGTCACACCCAGGTGGGCATATGCCATATCCAGAAGCGACTGGCCAGTGTCTTGTTTCTAGGAAGAAAAAAATCAAGTGGGAATAATTTTTAAATGAATTAAAAATTCGTGGTGATGTCTTCTAGACAAAAGAAAGTTTAAATATTCAGATTTTATTTTTATGTACACACACTTCCAAAAGCAGCAAAAGGGTTCATAAATGTCAAGTTATAAGGTTACACCATATTTATGGGAATGAGGGCCAAGATAAGCTACAGCAATATGAATTAAGATGATACAAGGTTACACAAGTGTGTCCTATTTATTTCACTTCAGAGTATGGCCTCAATGTGGATCCATTTAGCTATAAATGTCTCTAGTTTCTCATTCTTTATGGCTGAGTAGTACTCCATTTTATAAAAAAAAACAAACCACATCTTCTTTATCCAATCTCCAGTTGATGGGCAATTGAGCTGTTTCCAAGTTTTAGCTATTATGAACTGTGTCGCTATAAACATCGGTGCACATGTATCACTTAGTGTGATTCTCTTAATTCTTTTGGGAAGATACCCAGCACGGGAAGAGCTGGGTCAAATGGGACCTCTAATCCTACTTTTTCAAGGTATCTCCATATTGATTTCTACAGTGGTTGCACCAGTCTAGTCTCTCACCAGCAGTGGAGCAGGGTTCCTTTTTCTCCACAGCCCCACCAGCATTTGTTATTGGTTGATTTGACAGCAGCCATTCTTTCCAGAGTGAGGTGGAATCTCAGTGTTGTTCTCATTGGCATCTCTTGAATGACCAGTGATGATGAACATTTTTTCATGTTTATTTGCTGTTTCTACTTCGTTGTCTAAGAAATGTATGTTCATTTCAGATGCCCACTTTCTGATTGGGTCTTTAAATTTGAGGGGTCTGATTTTTTAAAGTTTTTTATATATTCTAGATAATAGACCTTCGTCTGAAGAACAGCTGGTTAAAATTTTTTCCCATATTGTGGGTTGTCTCTTCACCCTGTTGGTGGTTTCTCTTGCTGTGCAGAAGCTTTTTAATAAGATGAGATCCCACTTGTGGATTCTTTGTGCTAGTTCATGTATGACTGAGGTTTTGTTCATGAAATCTTTTCCTACACCAACGTCTTAAAGAGTTCTACCTAACCTCTCTTCCAGCCAGTTTAGTGTTTCCGTTTTAATATTTAGATCTTTAATCCATTTCGATTTTAGTTTAGTGTATGGTGAAAGATATACGTCTAGTTTTAATCTTTGGCAAGTTGAAACCCAATTTTTCCAGGACCATTTATTAAAGAGGCTATCTTTCCTCCAGTGAGGGTGTTTGGCTCCTTTGTCAAAGATGAGGTGGCTGAGTGTGTCTGAAGTTGTTTTTGCATCTTCTAATCTGTTCCACTGGTCTTCAGGTCTGTTTCTTTGCCAGTACCATGCTGTTTTTATCACAGTAGCCTTGTAGTATAGTTTCAAGTTGGGGATTGTGATACATCCTACCTTGTCTTTGGTGTGAGAAGCTGAAAGTGTAAATAAGGATAAAAATGTATAATAAATAATGTGAAATAGGAAGAAAAGGTCCAAAGGGGAAGGGGAAGTGGGAAGCGTAGGGGAAAGGAAAGAAGGGAAAGGAATAAATTTGAGAAAAGGAAAAAATAGAAACAAAGTTTTTGTAAATAGGGAGGGGGGAGGGGTTGAAGGGAGGGCAGGGGAATGGGGAAAATATAAGAACCAAGGTATATCATGTAAAGGTACAAATTCCTAATGATGAATGTCATCATATTGTATACCTAAAATATACCAATAAACTTAATGAGTAATAAAAAAAGATGATATGAGTTTAGACTAATAGCTTTCTAAGATTTCTTCCTTCCTGCTAGCTGAGGTTCTCAAGTAATGTCTAAATCAGAAAACTCATGTGTTATAATTACAGTAAGCTCACCATGACCGAGCCATGGATTACCCACAGCAAATGCTAATCCAAGGTCAGTTTCTGTTGGCTCCTCAGGATATGTCTATGGCTCCGACCCCTGGAGGAACCAAGAAGTGTGTCTAGGAAAGGAAAACTCTCAACTCATAGCTAAAAATACTTAAATGCCACTCAAAATACCCTCAAAATGATTTGGTCCATGTCACCATGCAGGATTATCTGCCTTGCTGCTTCCGTCATCAGAAATGAGAAGCTGGTAGGGACATTCAGCGGAGCTTCACTCCAGTGCAGTACTCAAAAGGCCTCGGCCGCACAGTGTTTGTTGGGTACGTGTAGTGTGGGCAGAAAGACAGCTATACAGTAACTGTCCCTTTCCTGGCCTGGCTGTGGAAGCAATTGTAACATGGAGTAACAAATGCTATCCAGTGCTTCAAAATCATCAAGGCATAAGACACCTGAGGGGACATCACAATTAATTGGTCAGCTCTACCTGGAGACAAAGGGAAGCAACCCTTGATCCCAATTTGGAAGGATGACCGGGTGAAGCATCACTCCTCCTTTCTAGGTGTACAGGCATTTGAACCTCATGGACCAGCACAAGCAAAGGCACAGCTGGGGCAGGAGGCAAAAACTACATGGTGCACTCAGGAATTTGCAAATTCTATTTTAACAGGCAGACTTCTCAGGAGTCCTTTGAACCAAACCATTTAACTTGAGGACAATATGAGTTAGAAATAGACAAGGTATAGAACAGGCAAAGGTAGTTCTTTTTTGAGTAGGAAAGCAGGTAATATACTTGAAAATAGGTCAGTGATCAGGCTTGGGAGAATGAGGAGTCAGACCCCTCCAGCAGCGAGCTCTGTGGGACAGCCCCATGGGATCTGGCCAGCAGTGTGGGGTCGAGGGGCATGGGACACACCTATTTCCAGAACACACCTCTCCTTCCAGACTCAGGGCTCCTGCACACACTGCTTCTTCTACCCAGGACGCTATCCATCACAAGAACTCTCAATGGGTGTGGAAAGAATGATCCAGTCCATGTGGTTAGACGTTCTCCTCTCAAACTGTGAGGTACTCTTTTCATGTATCAAAAGGTATCTGTTCTTCTTATTGGAATTATTATTTATATATGACTTTATATTGCATTTGCTATATATTACTAACAACTATAATTTATTAAACATCTACAACGAGCCAGCTATACCATGTGCACTTTTCTCATACAATCTCCCATCTTTTATGGCAACTTCAAAAAACACCCATCACCATCCCCCCTTGCCAAGAGCAAATACGGCACTCCATGCCTTACCCCATCAGCCACAGCGGTCTGAATGCCTGACTCAGGTCTGTCTGTCTGGTACCAAAGTCCAAGTGTTTCCACTACACTAGTTCTCTCACTTCTGAAGTGCTAGATTTAAACATGTGGGTATCGACTCTGCATAATTCACTGTGTTCCCAAAAGAAATTGAAATGTAACCCAAGATATGGCTATAACAGGAACAGGCCTCGCTCCAATCCCACAGGATGTCATCTTAGCCATCCTAGCTGACTGCCAGTCCTGGTTGACTCCTGGGCTAGGGTAGGAACGAATGATGCCCAAGTCAGGATCCCTGATGACGCCTGGTCCCGCTCAAAGATGGTCCAGGCTACAGAGGTGAATGAGACTGTACAAGTGGTCCCCACAAGCAGGAAATAAAAACTGAGGGACGCTCCAAGTTGCAGCCAGGCCCTCAAGTCCTCAAGTTCAAGTCAGCTTTGGACCAGGCTGCTGGAAACAGGGTGACAGAGTGTGACCTGAGAATTCTGGATGCTCATTGTTAGGACCCATTCCTAGGCTCTCCATGATCTCCACTGTGGGCAGCTGCTTGTCTTACCCCTTCTCACTCATATATGGCCAATAGCTCCTCCTTCCAGCGACGTCATTTGCCCTTTTTTCTCAGACATTGTGCTTAGCCTCCTCCTGCCTCTTGCTCAGTCTAGTCTGGTGCCTGCCCCTCATTTTTGCAACCTCTCAATATCAGGTCTCGTCCCCATCTTCTGTGTCCGTACTTCTCAACTGAGCTCACCCAGTTTCATTGCTTGAAACCCCATCTCCACCCTAGTGACATCCACATTCGTATCCCTAGCCTGGACCCATGCCCTAAACTCCTGACCTGTCCATCTACTACCATTTCCACATTTCTGCAGATATGAGTAACTGGCTTCTCAAAATGCACATCCACAACAGAAATGGTTATTTCCCAAACCCGTCCTTCCCACAATCTCCCAATTCTATAAACTGCAACTCTATCTTGTCAGGTTGCTCAGGCCAAAGTCCCTGGAATCACCTTGAGGCCTCTCATTCTTTCACACCTCCAAATTCCCATGATCTGCAAATCCTATGGGCTCCATCTCCAAAGCGTTTCCAGGTCCACCTCCACACAGCCACCCTGCCTCATCAGCAGCACTTCTCCCGGATGGTTGTAATAGTCCCTTGGGCCTTTCCCTCCCAGGCTACTGCTGACAGAACATCCAGAGTGACACCTGAGTCAGGTCAGGTCAGTTCTTGATCCAGACCTACCAGTGCTTTCCACCTCACACTGTACAAAAGCTAACGCCCCCAGAATGACCCGTGAGGCTCTACAGGATCCCCCATGCCCGCCTGTTATCTCTTGGACCCTATCTCCTACTGCATTCCCTCCTGCTCCTTCCATTCCGGACAGAGTGGGTGCTATACTTTCCTGCAGCCATACTACTCTGACTCTAGCTGCAGGGCCTTTGCACTGCTGCTTCTTCTTCCTAAGATGTACTTCCTCCAGACACCTACTTGATTCTCTCGCCTTACCAGTGAAGTCTTCCCAGATCATATCTATAAAACCATATCCCCAGCAATCACCTCCCACGAGGATGACAGCTTCCAAAGGGCAGAAGATGTGCTGTTTTGTTCTCTACTGTATTCTCTGTGCCTGGAACAAAGCCTGGCACATACTAGGTGCCTAGTACTTCCTGAATGAATAGATGAGGCATATACTAGCAAATATTCATGTTCTTATCAGGAAGAGGGTATATGGTTGAAGAATAAGCCCAACCTAGACAAATACAAATTTTGATAGAGGAGCCAGTCAGGTTACAGCACCTGAAAGTGACATGTGTGACCTTCAGGGGCCTTTTTAATCACAAAATTCTATAGAAGACTAGTTAAAAAGGAAAATAGATATAAGGTACAACCAAAGTAGCTGATTTTGGGGGGAAATATCTATGACCCGGACAAAAACACTTGAAATTAGTGGTTCTCCAAACTGTAGTGTGCATGCCCCAACCCTGGGAGTATCTCAAATAGCCGGTAGGACAAGGGAGCTATATTTTAATATGCATCCTAGGAATTCGGATACATTTTAAGAAACATTCATTAGGGTTGTGCTGTCCTAAGTGGGCAACCTGAGCTACAAGACTATTTAAATTTTAATTTAGATTAAAAGCTTAGTTTTTCAGGCATAGGAGTCACAATTCAAGTGTTCACCAGCTACCTGTGACTGCCAGCTCCCATAGTGGATGGTGTAGGACAGAACATTTCCAGCAATCCATACAGTTTGTTCACAAAGTCCTCCCTAGAGAGTGTTTTTCTCCAAAACAATGCTGGGGATGAAACCCAGGGCCTAGCACACTCAAGAACTTGGGTTCAGCCAGGTGTGGTGGCATACACCGATAATCCCAGCATTCTCAGAGGCTGAAGCAGAAAGACTGAATATTTGAACCTGGACAGGGCAACTTAGTAAGACCATGTCATCAAAATAAAACACAAAAATAAGGGCTGAGGATGTAGTTCAGTGCAAAGCCCCTGGGTTCAATTCTTGGTACCGGGGGTAGGGGGCAGCGGGTCACAAGTATTTATAGTATTCTATATCCTCTAATTAAACTTTGGAGACACCTAACTAGACGATTACATTACCTTATGGAATTTTCCCTTTTTACTACAATGAGATTTCCTCCCTTGGAAAGAATGAGGTCCAGTTGGGCATAGTGGTACATGCCAGTAATTCCAACAGAGGCAGGAAAATTGCACGTTTGAGTCCAGCCTAGGCAACTCAGTGACTACTGAGACCCTGTCTCAGAATAAAAAACTTTTAAAAAGTGGGCCAGGGAATGGCTCAGGGCAACGGCCCTGGGTTCAATTCTCAGTACTGGGGGAAGAAATGAAGCCCGACCCTGGCAAACAGCTGGAGGCCTGGGAAGCTGAGAAGTGGGTGGGGGAGTAGGGTAGAAGGCTGGGAAACACCTGTCACCACTAATCATCTCCCGGGTCCCACAGTCCCAGTCTTGTCTGCTGCTGGGAAGCATCTGTGGTTGCAGCCCCAGGGAGTTGTCCCGGCCCCCGAGTAGAACGGAAGGAGATATAACATCCTGTATGCTTAGGTTTCTTGCAAACCGCCTTCTTCTCTTGCCTGCACCCGGGTCCGCAGGAGGCAAACTTGTAGGCGGGGTAGAAGATGCAGGGATCGGTTTTTGGTTATGCTTTAAATTCTTGCAGCATTTCTTATTCTAAATTGTTCTCTCCTCTCTGTCTCTTCTGCTACCTTTCCTTGCACACTGGACTTTCCAGGCTGCAGCAGATGCTGGCAGTTGGTTCAGGGTAAGGGTGGACCCATCTGGTACTGGCGAGGACAGGAGAGATAGGCAAAGGTCACAGACCTCAGGGGTGATCTGAGTGGATGGCCAGCAGGGGCCACAACTGTCCCGGCATCCGACTGCTGGTGGCCTGGAACCCGCAGACCATGATCCTAGTCCTAGCTCTGCCAGAGCTCTAAGTGGGAGAAGCCAGGACCTCCACGATCCCTGCCATCCTGATCCATGCGCTCATACATTTAACAAGCACCTGCTATGTGCCAGCCCTGTGCTGGGACCCTCTCCCTGTCTGCAAGGAGCTCACAGTGCAATGGCCAACAAGTAATCTAATGATGGTAACTTTTTAAAAAATGCAACATGACATGGGCTCTAATAAAACACATAAAGAGCACCATCACCTGAGAAGCAGCTCTGGCTCAGGACAGAGATGGGGACATTGCTGAAGCAGCAACACCTGAGAAGCACACTGCACGCACCGCTAAGAAGGGGATGGGAGGCAAGGGGGGGCAAAGTCTAATCTCAACATGCAAACCCTAGAATCTCAAGCTTTCGCTTTAATGTATGTTTTTCTTCATGTTGTAAGACAAGAGATGAAAACTATTTCTTAAGAGCGTTAATTCAGAAAAAACTGCGGAGGAACTTACATTAACTTTAAAGGTCTGTACCAAGCCATCTAAAAAGCATATGCTGCAGACGACTTCAGATCGAGCTTTTTCTTTGGGTAATTCAGAGGTACGTATGTTATTAATTCTTCCACCCAGCGCGCGTAACCGGGAGGTCATAACTATGGTTGAATGACCTGTAAAGGAAGACATACCTGTTAGTTCTTTCATACTCTAATTACCAGTTACCAAGAACAGGCCTCACAGCCCACCCAGTGCCCTCTATACCTGTTGCTTTGAAGGAAGAACCAGCTGAGGAACTCCTGGGTAATGAGCACTAAATAACAAACTTTGTTTCCATTTGAGTTTTGACTTGGAATTTCTAAGTAAAATTTATTGCTCAATGGTAACATTCCTAGAATTACATGGTTTATTTGTTATTACCTCCCTGGTCTATATCTTCTTCTAATTCTAATTCCCTAGGCTTTAAGCTTTTTACTTATATTTTACTGTCTAGGTATTTTCGTATTCCACCCCTCAAATTTCACAGAACTAAGCATGGCATAAATGTGATTTGAAGCTTGAAAAGATTCATGAATTGGATTATATTATAATCAATAACTTCTTTTTATTAAAAGGTAACATTTAAAAGAGCAAAGGGCAAACCACAGAGAAAGACAGGGTTTGTGTAATATATACATCTACAAAGGTTGTATAAAGTGTCCTATGACTCAGTGAGAGAAAAGGCAAACCAATAAATGAAAACAGGTACTCAACGATACTACCTGTTAACAAGATGCAAAGGGAAACCCCACTTACCACCACATACCCATGGAAAGGGCTGCAATTTAAGACCGGCAGAACTGGGAGGGTGTGTGCCAGGTGCAACTCTCAGGCACCGCTGATGAAAACATAAGCCAGTGCAACTACTTTGAGAAACCTAAGTAATACCGACTGAGCAATCCCACCCCTAGGCATGTCTGCAACAGAAGAATATACTTCTACTTACAGAAAGATATGTACAAGAATTTTCATAACAGCCTCAAACTGGAAAAGACATAAACGGCCATCATCTGTAGAATGGATAAGCTGGTACAGTCATACCATGCACTAATATACAGCAAAGAAATGAGCTACTGTGACATGCAACAATATGAAATTATTTCTTTACTGTTACCATGAGCAAAAGAAGCCACACAATAGATAACCTATTGCATGATTCCACTTGTATAAAGTTTTTAAAAAGGCAAAACTAATCAATGTGGATAGAAGACGGGGCTAGTGGTTACCTTTGGGTGTAGTGATGGGGGGAGCACGGGGTGCTTCTGGGATGCTTTTAACATCTCATGTCTTAGTGTGGGTGCTAATGACACTTTTGTACCCATTCTGTGAAAACTCAAGCACAGTATTTGTGACCTGTACATTTTTCTACATGTAAGTTTGCTATGCTTTGAATATGGTTTGTCTCCCCCAAAGTCCACTGTGACTGAGGACTTGGACTCAGGGTGGTGTCATGGGAGTGGTGGAAACCTCTGGGTCATTGGAAGCTTGAGGTGTTTAAACCCTGATCCTCTTGGTAGCTCTTGCCAGAAAGTGTTACAAAAACAAGCCCGAGCCTGCCCCGGCTCTTCCCTCTACTCCTAGCACTCTGAGATAGAATCACTTGCTTCCTCCTGAGCGCGCTCTCACACTGCCATCTGCCATGTTGTGATGGACTGAGAACTGAGCCAGTGCCAATGCAGTGCCCTGCCTTCCAACCTCCAAAGGTGTGAGTTAAATAAACCTCTTTTCTTCATCAACTGTACTGTCAGGTATTTCATTACAGCATTGAAAAGCTGACTAATACAATGTTATATTTTAGTAACAAATTTACTTTAAAAAATAAACACCCTTACATTTACAAAGAGGGAATTAGTGGACAGTTAAAAAAAATCTGACCCTAGGGCCAGGGATTTAGCTCAGTGGTTCTGGCACCTGCCTCACAGGCACAAGGTCCAGAGTTCAATCCCCGGTACCAAAAAAAGGAAAAAAAAAATCTGACCCTGGTATTTGGAATCAGTAAGGAAACAAATTTGACAATAAGCCCAATTGTGGAGCAGCAGACTCAAAGACTGAAAAGGTGTGCAACTGAGCACATGGCCATGCCATGCAGGTGGGAGGGCCAAGGTCTAGACCACTACAGAGAATATACAAAGCACTTCTACCAGTGTACAGAATGGAGAAGATGTAAACGTGACAAGACAGTGTGGAGGAGCAAATGCAGATGAAGGCCTTGAGAGCAAATTAATTCTCTATAAACCTTTTCTGATGAGCTGATCTTTCCATATGCTATTCCTTCTGCTTGCAAAGCTTTCTGCTTCTTCACGTGGTAATTCCTACTCATCTGCTCAGCACAAGCATCACTTCTCATGGAAGCCTTCCGGGGTCTCCCCCAGCAGTCACGTATTTGTGTTATAAACTCTATGGCGCTCTTCACTTCACACTTATCACTTGATTTAACAGCTGCTTCTCCCATTAGACATCAAGCTCCATGAGGGCAGGAATCGAGTCTTATTTTGCTCACTATATCTCTAACATGCAGCTCTGACAGGCTGACAGTAAATATTTGAATGAACCAATAAATGAAAGGAACACACACAGAAAATGAAGCCCCGATTTATGGTCTGGAAAAATAGCAGGACAACCTGTTATACAAACTCGGTTTGGTGGGAGCAGGCAGTAGAGAAAGATGGGATGAGAGTGAAGGTAAGTGCAGAAGTCCTACAGATCAGCACCGCTCAAACAGCAGTGTGTACATGGAACATTCATGAACAGCGTTTGGGACGTTATTAAAATGCAGAACTGGTTCCGGTATGGCTGGGTGGGACCTGAACATCTGCAGCTCTATTTCCCAGGAGATGCCTCAGCTATTGATCTGGGCTTCATCCTGGGACAAGCAAGTCACAGATAACTGGAAAAGCAGCACCAAATGTCAAGGCAGGGCCAGAGATGAAGATTTGTGAGTCATCAGCAAAAGGAGGTGACTCAGCACTGGAAGGGATGAGGACAAAGCAGTCTGGAGGTCTGAGATCTGAGCCTCAGGGAGCTACAGACACAGACCAGGTGCAAGGAAACAGAAGTGAAATGTGTGTAGAAAAAGTACATCCAGGAAGAAAGGGGTGCATTTTGGTCCCTTATCAACCTATTTAAGAAGCCACAGGCACACCTCCGTTCTTCTGTAGATAGGGACAGGAACTCTCAAATATTAATAAAGAAAATTCCTGGGACCAGCAGTGCAAAAAAACAATCATTTATCAAATTCCACCCACCCCACCACCTCCACCTTGCCCTTTTCAATGAAAATGTCATCGGGAAGCAGGGATGCGTTTTCTGAGTAATACAAAAAGTTATCAAAAGACAACAAATGTGTTCCATAATGCTGTATCCCACACTGAATTTTAAATGTCAATTTTGTTGCTTAGTTCTTGTCTAAGAATCTCAGGTGGGTAACTTTTTTTTTTAAAGATACAATAGAATCATTATAAGTGTAGTTTTCGTGGGAGGCACACTTCAGAATCACCTAGGGAACTTTTAAAAAGCGATGCCTATTGCAGCCCCTCCCCATAGGAGGGTTCGGCATCCTGCGATGTGGCACAGGATGACATTCCTCCTGGAAGGCCTTGCAAGATAGGGCCCCGGCTGGCAGTCAAGGCCTGGAGGAGTGAGTGGACTTTCAGGGGGCTCCGGGGTGTGTTCTGGATGGTGGAACTTAGAACAGGGGCTCGGCAGAGTTAAGCCATTCACTGAAGGCACGTAGGAAAGAGCTGGGCAGTTGTTCCACAGAGCAGCTGAAGCAGAGATAATCACATACTGACCCTGGACAGAAAACAACAGTGATTTCAAACAGGAGCCTGCAATGAAAGTCACATGGACCCATGTGTCAACTGCAGGCATAGATTTGCAAACTGCTCTTTACCTGAGCAGCCCCTCACACCTATGCAGTATGGGAACCATGGCATATGAATTAAGCATAGTTAACAATGCTGCCCAGCATGGTCACGTAGCTAGCTGACCAAGTAAATCAGACCAGTAACCAGAAAGATAAAGTTTCCTTTTCTTACATCCATCTCTGATTGTCACATGAAGGGATGGAACCCAAGAACCTAAAGACAACATCATAAAATGGTATTTTATGGAAGTTATACAGAAATGCTCTTTCTACATTTGTTCCTGAAGCAACCTTGAGAACAATGTGCCTGATGTTAAACAACCACATAACTGAGCCATGCAGTGTTTTCAGACTGTCTTGAAATTGTATCTTAAACAATCTGGTTGGGACAATGGATGCTGACTAATTGCCCTGTTTCCTGTACCACAGCAATTGGGGAACTCAGGGTTTCTATGGCTTCCTTTATAAGCCTTTTAATTCTAAACAAAGCCACAACCCAAACAGGAACACACTGGCCTCTCTGACCACAAATGATCACAGCTGCAGCTGATGCCATTTACAACATGGAAGCCAAGCCTATTCTTTGCAGAATTAAAAAAATTAAACAGTTACAGCTATAGAATATTTTGCACAATAGCAAAAGAGGTCCTACTAGGAACAATCTTTAATCAAAGATCATATCTGGGAAATGCAAAAAGGAGTAACATCTCACTTTGTACGAAGGAGTGCAATCAATACTGGCAGAGCTAGAGACAGCACATGCAAAATGCCTAGCACAATGTAGGACACCTTTTATTTACATGGAGCTTCTGATATTACCAGGTCCTGACTACAGATTCCAGATTTTGTAGGGGTAGCCTGATTTTAAACACCTTACAGATGATACATAAATGCTTTGTTTCTTAAAAACTATATTCATTTAAATAAAGACAGCTTGCTAGAGTTAAAAAGCAGTTCTTACAGATATGTAATATATATCTGAACTTCTCTACAGACTCAATAGAGTCAGAAGCAAAAGATGTTGTCACAAATCACCGTGCCCTGGGCATGTGAACACCAGAGCCTTCACAGCTGGGGTTGGGGAATAGGTTTTCACCACAGCCCCTCCTGGATGTCCCAGAGCCTGAGGAGGGAGTCATTGCTGTATTTCCTAAGGGTCTGTCTTCAGCCTGATCCACAGAACTCTGTTCTTTCACAAGCTAGTGAGCCACAGAGCAGTGCATGCCAACCCAACTCCTTCCGGATCATTTTAAAAGAAGTATAAATTAT